ATGTGTTCAAGTTCATGGAAACTTGGCATGGCAGCACTCCCCTCGGTTCCCCATTCACCATCTGTTGGCCATCTATCAACTGTAATTTGTAACATGTAACATGTATCCATCATGCACCTCCCTACCTCCCCTCTCCCTCCCCTCACCATTCCTGCACGAGTGGAATTGAGAGAGAGATGCGTTCATTGGAGCAGTTGATGCATTTGCGTAGCCGCCGGGAGGAAGCTCTTTGTGATATACCTACTCCAATCACGTTCACTTACAACTCTGTTTTTTTGTGCCCCCTGCATCGAATAAGATGTGTGATGCTCATCTCTGATATGGCTGTTGTGTTCTGGCGCTATTGCATGGATGAGAACTGGAGATCGCTGATGACTGGTATTTCCGCGCTGAATGACTTCATGAATGGGTTGATACAGCTGCCGCAACAGCAATACAAGAAGCACCGGCTCGAGTTTGCTTGATAGAAGAAAGGTGTACATATTTGGAAGGGAAAAAAGGGGGTTCTCACACAGAACATGTGGAGCAGGATAGAGCAGCAAGGAGAGGGCCTCCAAAACGCCTTTCAAACCCCTCTTTGCTGCTCTATCCTGCTCTACGCGCTCTGTGCGAGTACCTTCTCCTATGTCTTCCAAATATGCACGACTTTCTTCCATCAACCGCAACTCGGCTCAAGCTAGTGGAGCTAGTTGCAGACGCTTTTTGTGTTGTTGTTAGTCCAGCCGTATCAACCCATCCATGAAGTTGTTTGGCTCAGAAATACAAGTCATCAGCACTCTCTTGTGCTCATTCATGTAATGGCTGTAGAACACAACAGGCTTTTTAGCACCGAGCATCACTACACGATGCAAGGGAGACCGGAAACAGAGTTGTATCTATTGAAGTTGGTGTGAACATTAAAAGCAGCTTCGACGTGGCGGTTACACTACACGGGTCTATCAACCTCTCTCTCTCTCTCTCTCTCTCTCTCTCTCTCTCTCTCTCTCTCTCTCTCTCTCTCTCTCTCTCTCTCTCTCTCTCTCTCTCTCTCTCTCTCTCTCTCGAATGGTCCTGGTATTGATTGATGGGAGATACATGGGAAGATGCAAACACATGCAAACCCAGACATAACACTCGGTCTACCTAACTACCTCATTCCCTTACTCCCTCCCGCCCCCTCCGTCCGACCCTAAAGGTCGAACGAGGGCTCTATTAGCTGGTAGAGCTGGCCTTCGCTAAGGGGGGCAAAGGGGCCCCGCATGCCGAGCTCGTCCGCTGCTATCGCCTCGTTGGTCTTGCAGCGGAGGGCATTGGCTTGTGCTTTTTGGAGGCACACGCTCCAGCGCTGGCGGTATTCCATCAGCAGCTTGGCGGCCTCGTAGGAGTTGGGGGCTGCGTTGAATCGCAACTTGGCCGCCAGCTCCGCGCACTGCCGCAAGAATGCCAACACCCCGGGCGAGGGGTACCCATATGTCTCTACCGCTAGGGCATGAAAGCCCACCCACGCATTTCGGCGCGCGTATCTCTCTCTCTCTCTCTCTCTCTCTCTCTCTCTCTCTCTCTCTCTCTCTCTCTCTCTCTCTCTCTCTCTCTCTCTCTCTCTCTCTCTCTCTCGGGTTGGATTGTGCCAGGGGCGCCACCATTATCTCTTGTGTTGAGCACCCGTTCTCCGTACATTCACCATCCACTCTTACTTCCACCCTCGCTCTCATGCATGCATGCATGCAGGGAGCATTTGAGCTGGACTGCGCCGTGTGCCCTATCGCCATCAAGTACAACAAGACCTTCGTCGATGCCTTCTGGAACAGCCGCCAGTACGGCCCACCTCTACCCTCCCCCTGTTCCTCCCTGCCCCTTTGCCTCTTGCCATGCTCCCCTCCTGCTCTCCTAACCCTTGCCCCCCTACTTCCGTCCCCCATGCCCCCATACCCCCATGCCCCCATACCCCCATGCCCCCATACCCCCATGCCCCACCCTCGGGATATCCGCGCCCTCGTTTTAAGCCCTCTCATGGCCCACCCTCATGCCCCACCCTCATGCCCCATCCTCATGCCCCACCTTATGTCACACCCTCAATTTGTCCTGTCTCATTTGTTGGCAAATTGCAGTTCCGAATTCACCTCTCCTATTTCCCGCTTTTTCCCTCCACACCCCCTCCTCCACCCCTCCGTACCTCCAGGCAATCCTTCACGATGCATCTTGTGCGTCTGATGACGTCATGGGCGGTGGTGTGTGACGTGTGGTTCATGGAACCGCAGTACATCCAACCAGGGGAGTCAGCAATCGACTTCTCGGAACGGTAAAAGATGGTTATGCAAGTTTTGTGATGGTGTGAATGAGTGGACTCAGTGGTGGTGTGTGACGTGTGGTTCATGGAACCGCAGTACATCCAACCCGGGGAGTCAGCCATTGACTTCTCTGAACGGTGAGGGACGATGACGTGATGTCTGAGCAGCAAACGTACGACTGACTGCCCAGTGGTGTGTGCGACTGCCCAGTGGTCTGTAGGCATTAGTGTGTGCCTTGTGGTATATGCATACAGCTGTCGTACATCTCCTCCTATCGCCTCCTCCTCTCAACATCCCCTCCCGCATGGCAGGGTGCGGGAGCTGATTGCGAGGAGGGCAGGCATCAAGAAGGTTCCCTTGGGTGGCCCTGTGTCTCAAATGCCCCATCTCTACCCCTCCTCTTCCATCCCTTCCTGCGTGCCCCCATGGCAGGGTGCGGGAGCTGATTGCGAGGAGGGCAGGCATCAAGAAGGTGCCCTGGGATGGGTATCTCAAGTACTATCGGCCCAGCCCCAAGCTCACTGAAAAGAGGTATGGTGAGAGAGAGAAGAAGAGGTATGGTGAGAGAGAAGAAGAGGTTCGGTGTGTGTGCGGTGGGTGGGGGGGAGTTGGAGGGGGGTAGGGGGAAGGAGGGGGGGACTACAAGTTGCTGTGGGATGGGTACCTCAAGTACTATCGGCCCAGCCCCAAGCTCACCGAAAAGAGGTATGGTTGGAAAGGGAGGGAGATAGAGAGTCCGGAGCTCACAGAGACATGGTACATGTCTGTGAGAGAGGTAGGCAGGCACAAGCTTACAGAGGGGTACCTGCGTGTGTGAGCCTACCAGATGCCGTGGGATGGATATCTCAAGTACCATCGGCCCAGCCCCAAGCGACTTTTGAGTCGACTCAAAAGTCACCCCGGCCCAGCCCCAAGCTCACAGAGAAGAGGTATCGTGTTGGACAGATGTGAGACACATGTAGACTCCGACATTCTCTTAGCACTGCTTGCTCGCCCTGCACACGATCACAGGGAGTGCTTCTACTGGCGCATCAAACAAAGTGACTTTTGAGTCGACTCAAGAGTCACCTCGCCCTGCACACGATCACAGGGAGTGCTTCTACTGTCGCATCAAACAAAGTGACTTTTGAGTCGACTCAAGAGTCACCTCGCCCTGCACACGATCACAGGGAGTGCTTCTACTGGCGCATCAAACAAAGTGACTTTTGAGTCGACTCAAGATTCACCTCGCCCTGCACACGATCACAGGGAGTGCTTCTACTGGCGCATCAAACAAAGTGACTATTGAGTCGACTCAAGATTCACCTCGCCCTGCACACGATCACAGGGAGTGCTTCTACTGGCGCATCAAACAGCCTGCCTGCCCTCCCCCTCAGGCTTTTTAATCAACTTGTTCCCCCTCTTCTCCATCGCCCTGTTATGATTTCCCCACTATCCAGGCAAACCAAATATGCGCACTCAGTGCTGCTCACGTTACAGGAGATCACAAGGAGTGCTGCTGGGGCTTTAAGCAGTCTTTCCTCCCCTTCTCTTTTTCCCCCCTGCACCCTGCACACACCCACCCGCTCTTCCCCTCCCCAGGCAAGCCAAGTATGCGCACTCAGTGCTGCTCACGCTTCAGGAGATCACAGGGGGTGCTGCTAGGGTGTTAAGCCGCCCTTCCTTTCCCTCTCGCTTTGCCGCCCGCACCCTGCCCACACCCGACCCCTCTTCCCCTCCGCAGGCAAGCCAAGTACGCGCACTCAGTGCTGCTCACGCTGCAAGAGATCACCGGGGTTGTTGCTGGGGTGCTCCCCTCACCCGATGAAGACAAGCTCGTGCTCTGATACCACAAATGTCGGTTTTGCTTCACGGGAGGAAAGCTTCCCTTGGAAAGCGTGTCCAGTCCAGAACAAAAATGAAATCACGAACGGGCGCTTATGTGTGACGGGAGCTTATGTGAGGTGTCAGAGGTGGAGGGCATTTTTAGGTAGGGCTAAGGCTAAGACCAGGTGGACCAGGTAGCGCCATTTGTGCCAGTAATGTCGGGGCCAGTTGAATCCGGCAGGTACTGGTAAGGTAAGACATGAGATGTTAAATCATGCGCCGCGTATCGTATCATACATGAAGTTGCGCTTGGATGCATGACTGGATGAGATGAGGCATGGGAATCAGGAGACTGCTAGTATGTGTGACAGCCTAATTTGAGTCCCCACCCCGGGTCATCCTCACCTGAAGATAAGAAGTTACTCCTGAAGATAAGAAGTTACTCCTGAAGATAAGAAGTTACTCCTGAAGATAAGAAGTTACTCCTGAAGATAAGAAGTTACTCCTGAAGATAAGAAGTTACTCCTGAAGATAAGAAGTTACTCCTGAAGATAAGAAGTTACTCCTGAAGATAAGAAGTTACTCCTGAAGATCCGAGCAGGTGGGTGGATTCTGTGGGGGTGTGTGCAAAAAAGCAAAATGGGAGAAAGCAAAAAATATGTGCCAGCCGGGAATCGAACCCGGGTCTGCACCGGGCACATGGCAGGGTGCTATTCTACCACTAGACCACTGGCACCATTCAGATGCAATGTAGTAGAGTGCAAGAGTTTTTGACTAATAATGTTTACAGAATTATAAGTGATGTAGAAGTCCATGTTACATGCTTAGTCACAGCAGGCCAGGGACCAACATGCAGCCAGCAGTGACTGTGCAACACTGGACCAACGATGCCAAGGGTTACACATGCAGGTGAGTTACACAAGGAGGTTACACGCTAAGCCGTGGCACAACATTCGGCCCACAAAACGGCTCTGTCAGCTGATCAGCACATGCCAGGCGGATTCTCTCTGGTGTGGCGGGAGAGTCTAGACGAAAGAAGCCAGTGTGGCCGGCGTCCTTCCGGGCGGCGTAGATTGCGTCTTTTATGGCCCACATGATTGATGAGCCGAGGAAGAAGGGCGGCTCGCCGACTGCTTTGGAGGAGAGAACTGCGTGCGAATTGGGGGAGTCCTGTGGTGGCAGGGGATAGGCCAAAGGTGGAACGGGGAAGAAGAGGGCGGATGGTGGAAAAAAGAAGGGGAGGAAGGTGGGGGGGAGGAAGGAAATTGGGGTAAGGGGAAGGGCAGGACGCGGAAAAAGGTGCAAAGTGACAAAGGAACAAAAGAAGGGATGGGGAAGGGGAAGTGAAGGAAAGAAACGACCACTCAACCTCACCCCCTGCCTCACACTCTCTATCTCACTCACCGCCAGCAGGGTGACTCTAAAGTCAGTGGGAATGTCAGAGGCAGCCGGGATCTTGTACGTGCCGGGGCCACACGTGAAGAGAGAGCCTGGCGCCACCCATGGGTGGGCGCTGTCGCCCCACTTGCTCTCCTCTATCACCGACCACCCCATTCCCTGCACGAACGCTCCCTCTATCTGCAGAAGCGAGGGGTGTAGGAAAGGAAAACAATGAGAATTGTGAGCCATCCAGGCGCCACCCAGGGGTGGGCACTGTCGGCCCACTTGCTCTCCTCTATCACCGACCACCCCATTCCTTGTACAAACGCTCCCTCTATCTGCACGGAATAGGGGGGCGGGTTGGGGAGATGAGGAAACAGAGCAATCTGCCCATGCCCATGCCCATGCCCATGAAAATCTAGACGCAAGAGACCACTCGGTGATGTGCTTCCCCATCTTCACCACCACCTGACTGGATTCGCTCTCGGCCGCATTTGACCGATGGGAGCACATACCTAGCCAATGTCAACGGCTGGGTTCACATCATTCAAGTTCACATCAAGTGACCGCCTCACATCATACGAGCATCAACTCGTGGTGCCACCCTCTCCAAGGGTCACCCTGACTTATGTTTCGAAGGGCTGCAGTAGTAGAGAGGACGCTTGAGCAAAGGAACAACAGTAAAAACTTGTGAAAAAACGCACATCATACGCTCAAAAGTCAACGGCTGGGTTCAGTGACCGCCTCACATCATACGAGCATCAACTCGTGGTGCCACCCACTCCCCCGACAGCACATAACCCTCCACTTCCGACACCACTGCAGCTACTGCTTGGTTGTCATTCCAAAACCAAAGAGGCCACCCACCCACCTGCCCAATGTCAATAGCTGGGTTCAGGGATCGCCCCACGTGCATGAGAACATCAACTCGCAATGCCACCCACTCCCCTGTCAGCACATCCACCACCACCCCCGCCACCGCTGCTGGAGCTGCTCCTAGGTTGCCATTCCAAACACAAGGTGACTTTTGAGTCGACTCAAAAGTCACCTGCAGCTGCTCCTAGGTTGCCATTCCAAACACAAGTCACCCACCTCAAAACACGTCCCTGTGCCACGGGAACACACACACACACCTGCCCAATGTCGATAGCCGGGTTCAGGGATCGAGGTGACTTTTGAGTCGACTCAGAAGTCACCACGTCCCTGTGCCATGGGAACACATACACACCTGCCCAATGTCGATAGCCGGGTTGAGTGACCGCCCCACGTCCATGAGAACATCCACTCGCGGCGCCACCCACTCCCCTGTGAGCACATCTACCACCACCTCCGCCACCGCTGCTCCAAAGGTGAAGTACGCAAAGGGAGATCCGGAGGCTGTTGCCCAGTTGAATCCGATGTTTGGAGTGGCAAAGAATCCCTGTGCTGACAGGTTTACTCGCTCTCTGTAACACCGATCGGCACTCTGGGAGGAGGCGAGACAGCAGGGGGAGGAGGGGGAGGCAGGGGGAAACAGGGCGGTGCACATGGGGGGCGTGAAGCAGGCAAAGGGAGAGCCTGACACTGTTGCCCAGTCGAAGCCAATATTGGGGGAGGCGAAGAATCCCTGCTCTGACAGGTTTACTCGCTCCCTGTAGCAACGATCAGCGATCTGTGGCGAGAGGAGTGTGGGGAGAGGGAGGAGGGGGAGCAACGGGGGAGGCAGGGGGTTGCGCATGGGGTAAACTGAGCGGTATATGGGGAGCATATGGATGGTATACCGTTTCATTTCATCTCACAAAATACAGTTGCATCTCACCTACACCGTTTCACCTCATCTGTACTGTTTCATCTCACCTATACTGTTTGTCTCACCTTTACCGTTTCATCTCACTTGTACCGTTTCATCTCACCTGTACGGTTTCAACTCACCTGTACCGTTTCAACCGGTACTGTTTCATCTCACCTGTACGGTTTCAACTCACCTGTACCGTTTCATCTCACCTGTACCGTTTCATCTCACCTGTATCGTTTCATCTCACCTGCACTGTTTCATCCCACCTGCACCGTTTCATCTCACCTGCATCGTTTCATCTCACCTACACCGTTTCATCTCACCTGCACCGTTTCATCTCACCTACACCGTTTCATCTCACCTACACCTTTTCATCTCACCTGCACCGTTTCATCTCACCTGTACCGTTTCATCTCACCTGCCCAAAAGTCTCCTCAGGGTACTGCTGCCTGATCGGCGCCATCCGCCGCTTGATCTCCTCACATGCCTCTAAAACCGCCTGCCCGTAGATGTCTGACGATGCTGATGCGGCTGTGGGGGAAGTGTTGGGTACCTGAAATAGGGAGCAGTAAGAGGGCAGCAGGAAGGTTTTTTTAAGGCTTTTCAACAAATTGTCTGGGATTCAGGGTTAAAGATTTTGAATGAGTCCAAAGGCGTGGGAGGGGTGTTGGTTACCTTATCCGTGCTGGTTTCAGAAATAAACACATTCGACAGCGGTACTTCCAGCGTCCGAGCAGCAATCTGAGCGCACTTGGTATGCAGCCCCTGACCCATCTCCACCCCTCCATGTGTCACCAGCACTGTTCCGTCCGTGTACACGTGCACCAGCGCCCCGCCCTGGTTCAGAAACTTGGCCGTAAACGAAATGCCAAACTTGGTGGGGATCATAGCAAGGCCCTTCTTTCGCCACCGGCTTGTTGAGTTGTACGTGTCGATGTCGAGTCGGCGGGATTCAAAGGAGGAAGAATGGAGTAACTGCGTCCAGATTCGGTGCATCGGGTTGTGCTTCAGCGGCTGGCCAAAGTGCAGTGTGTAGCCCTCTGGTTGGAGATTCAAAAACTGGAGGCAAGGAGAGGGGGGTGGGGGGGTGGGGGAAGAGGAAGGGGGTGGGAAGAATCGGGTTGTGAGTCAGATTCTGGCCGAAGCGCAGTGTCTAGCCCTCTGGTTGGAGATTCAGAAACTGCAGGAGCGGGGGGAGGATGGGGGAGGGAACAGGGGGTTGGGGGGAGGAGGGAGTGGGGACGGGTCACGGGAATAGGAAGGCGTTGGGTTATGGCTCACTGCATAAAAGCAAGACCCACTCTACGCTCTTCAGCACTCTTCCCAACAGACCTCGCCACATGGTCAACAACACTCTCCATCCCCAGCATTCCCTGCTCCACCAACCCCTACCAATGCTGAACCAACCAACACACTCACCCTGATTTCCTCCGCACTCTTCCCAAGGCTCCTCGCCACATGGTCGATAGCACTCTCCACCACCCCGCCACTCGCCCCAACACTCCCTGCATGAATCAATACTCACTCTTATTGCTTCCGCGCTCTTCCCAAGGGTCATTGCCACATGGTCGAGAGCACTCTCCACCGCCACCATTCCCTGCGGCCCGCTGCTAGTACCACCCTACACAACCATGACCTTACTCCGCAAAATCAACACACTCACTCGTAGCTCTTCCGCGCTCTTCCCAACAGTCCTCGCCATGTGATCGATTGCACTCTCCATCATCATCATCCCCTGCGGCCCGCCACTCGTGCCAACACTCCTTGCTTAAACCAAGACTCACCCTGATTTCTTCCGCACTCTTCCCAAGGCTCCTCGCCACGTGATCGATAGCACTTTCCATCACCATCATCCCCTGCGGCCCACCGAAGCCCCGGAACGCCGTGTTGGACGGCAGGTGCGTGCGAGCCATGCGGCCCCGGGCGTGCATGTGTGGTGCTGAGTAGACGGAGTCACAGTGGAAGAGGGCTCGCTCTAGCACTGCTGCTGAGAGGTCGAGAGTGCAGCCGCCGTTGGACAGGAGCAGGACTTGGAGAGCCACAAGGCGACCAGAAGGGGTGAAGCCTACCTGTCCAGAGCGGGTGAGAGGAGGACGGGAAAAGGAGGGAGGAGGGTTGAGCGGGGGGCAAGCAGGTGCGTGCGAGCCATGTGCCTCTGGGCATGCATGTGCGGTGGTGAGTAGACAGAGTCACAGTGGAAGAGGGCTCGCTCTAGCACCGCTGCTGAGAGGTCGAGAGTGCAGCCGGCATTGGAAACTAGGAGGATTTGGAGAGCCACGAGATGACCCGCGGGTGTGAAGCCCATCTGTTCAAGGAGGGTGGGGGTGGGGGAGAGAGGGGGGAGAGGGGCGAAGGGGAGGGGAGAGAGGGAATAAGGGGAAGGGGGAGGGGGACGGGTGGAGAAGGGGGGGAGGGGAGCAGGTGAGGGAAGAAGAGGTTCTGATAGCCCTGGGTTGGTGCAAGCTGTATGATGCCATGCCATGTCATGCCATGCCATACCTTACCGATTTGTTCTCACCTTGTATTTGCCATAGAAGAGGTGCCGTGCCGCTGCCCCGTGACCTTCACATCATCATCCCGATCCAACGTGATCCGCACAGCCCTGTTCAACTGCCACACCGGAACACACGCCGCTGCGGCCACCACTAGACTCCCTTGGAAACAGGCATCTCACCTTGAATCTGACAAACCGCAATCGCACCCACCTTATACTTGCCGTAGAAGGGGTGTCGCTGCCCCGTGACCTTCATATCATCATCCCTCTCCAGCGTAACCCGCACAGCCTTATTCAACCGCCACGCCGGCACGCACGCCGCCGCCGCCACCAGCACACTCCGCGTCTCCTTCCCCCCGAACCCCCCTCCCAGCCTCTTAACCCGCGAAACCACCCTGTGCATGGGAATCCCAAGAACAGAAGCAACGTCCTTCTGGTGGTGTGTGGGGGCTTGCGTGGAGCAGAGCATGTGGACTTCCCTTCCTCCGTCCACAGGCCAGACCACACAGGTGTTTGGTTCGAGGTAGAAGTGCTCCTGCCCGCCCATTGCCACCTCGCCTTCGAGAACCAATGGGCATTGGGATGCGTCAGCAAGGACGGATTCCACGTCAGCAGGGGAGACGGTGGACCCGGTCCGGGCGGCGAGCACTTGGAAGCTTGCTGAATCGGCCGGGGAAGGTTTGACTTTGTTGTTCTCTTCTGAGCCCTTTTCTTGATCGGTTTTCCCAGGGGGGTTCGGGACCCTGAGGAGGTTTCTTTCGGTCTGCCCGCCCGAGAACGGGAATTTGTGGAAGCTGCCCGAAGCAAGGGCTTCCTGGATGGTGAGGATGGCGGGCAGGTCCTCGTAGACCACCTTGACTTTTTTTGCGGCTGCCCGAGCGTTGTCGTGAGTGTCGGCAACAACCACTGCAATTATCTGTTAGAGGGCAGGAAAACGATTGGGCAAGTTGGAAAGAACGTCCACAATGCAGGAGAAAGCAATTGAAAGGAATGAGGTTTTTGAGGGAAGAATGGGGGAAGCTGATGGTGTTAAGAAAGTAAGAGTGGGAGGTAGGTGGATACGTAACTGCCGACCTACCTGCCCCAGCCATACCTGCCCCACACCCGCCTGCCCCACGTTCACCTGCCCCACACCCATACCTAACCACCCCGCTCGTACCTGCCCCACACATTGCACAATCTCCGATGCGAACACCTCCTCATCGTGCTCCACCGCACCAAACCGGTTGCTACCGGGCACATCCTTGGCCCCAAACATCCCCACGAAGCCCGGACAGGTGGCGGCCTCTGATTGGTCGATGGAGAGTATGCGGGCGTGGGGGCGTGTGCTGAGCACGAGAGCCCCGTGCAGGGCGGAGGGGGGGAGAGGCGTGTCATCCGCGTATTCTGCCTCCCCTGTCACCTGTAAGTCAGCAGAGAGGTGAACAGCCGGCACTCCCACCACCTCCCCTCCATCCTCCCTCCCTCCCTCACCAGCACTGCCAGTAGCAGCGCCCTCTGCCAGAGGTCTCGCCTCCCATGCTTGCATGCCGCGGGGATAGGGGCGAGGGAGAGCGGCCAAGGCGGACAGGTAGGAGGGGGGCGGCCACATGGAAGCTGCATCGAAGCTGCTGCTGGCGCTGCTGCTGGCGTTGGCTGTGGTGCTGGTAGTTGTGAGGGTGCTTTTCTCACCTTCCGAGCCTGTTCCTGCCCCTCCCTCCGCCCCTGCCCCTCCCTCTGCCTCCGTTACCATTTTCCCTCGCAGCAGCTGCTGTTGAGTATGTCCGTTCACGCGGTGGGCCACGAGCAGAAAGAACTTGAAGAAGAAAGAGAGAACGAGAGACCCCCTGAACTCAGGCATGCCTCCAGGTGCGTCCTCAGGTACGGATATCTCCTCCTGAAGCACCTGAAGCGCCACCTGAAGAGTCTCCTGAGTCCATGGGCGGGTGAGAAGGTGTTGTTGCGTGCGGCGGGCTGACACGGTTGTTGCTGCCACTCCTCCGAAGACGAGCGAGCATTCGAGGACAGTAGGAGGGGCGTCTGGATGGGGGAAAAAAGGGGAGACGCGGGTGAAGGGGGGGGGGAAATAGGGTGAGCAGGCACTGATGTTGCTGCCACCCCGCCAAACACAAGGGAACAGACAAGGAGCGGATGAGCGGATGAGGGAATGGGTGGATTGGGATGGGCGGATGGGCTTATCGGTGGATGGGCGGATGGGGGATGGGGGATGGATGGGCGGATTGGGAAACGGGCGGAGGGGCAGATGGGCACCTGGAGTGGGAGGCGAGAGCAGCACGCGCAGAGCCGCATTGACGAGAGCAATGTCGTGGTCCTTGTGGTGAGCCTGCTTGCCGTTTGACTCGACTCAAACCAGTTACCTGCTGCTCCCCACCCACCTGGAGTGGGAGGCGAGAGCAGCACGCGCAGAGCCGCATTGACGAGAGCGATGTCGTGGTCCTTGTGGTGAGCCTGCTTGACATTTGACTCGACTCCCAGTTACCTCTTTCTTGTTGGCATGGGCAGCAGGCACCCACCAACCTGGATTGGGAGCGGATGGGAACGCACCTCGGTTGGGAGGCGAGAGCAGCGCGCGCAGGGCAGCATTGACGAGAGCAATGTCGTCGTCCTTGCGGTGTGCCTGCTTGTACGCCATTATGTGCTCGTTGGGCCGAGTCCTGTGCATGGAGAAGTAATACAAGTAGAAGGAGAACAAAAAAAAAAAAAAAAAAAAAAAACGGCCATGGGAAAATGATAACGGAGATGAGATCGAAGTCTGTCGATGGTGCGAGTGGTACCAGCGACAAGAAAAAATTAGTGCTGACGTCAATCATTGGAGGAGTAAACGGAACTCTGTGTGGACAAGAAAAAGGAGTTAAGTCACGAGCAAGTAAACTACGAAGTCAACATCAAGATTGGCTCCGTTACCCCATACATAACTGGCCCTGGGAAAGTCATTTAAACATGGTCATTGGGAAGTCATTTAAACATGGTCCTGGGAAAGTCATTTAAACATGGTCCTGGGAAAGTCATTCAACCACAGCGCATAAAGCACAGCACAAAAACTGGCTCAGTGCAAGCTACTCACCACGGGATGAACACGGCAGTAAGAACCTCTCCCTCCCTCAAATCCACCTTCCGGTAACCCTTGAAGAAGTCCCGTGCTGCCACCTGTCGCAGCTCGATTGGACGGGTGGCGTGCTGAGCCTTGTCCACGTCAGCAGACGCTGCCACGTCAGCATCTGCCGCGTCAGCGGCCTTGGGTGCCAGCCTGGCGAGGTGGAATGTCGCGTTGGCAGCGATGAGGATGGGGTTGAGGTCGGATATGGGGCTGGCTGTTACGATGTTACCAGCTAGCGTTGCCACGTTGCGAATCTGAAAAAGGCACAAGGTGCAAGGGAGGAGGACCCTTGAGGCGCCTCAAAATGGAAGAAAGAGGAACCATGAAATTGAAAAAAGGGAGGGGGGTCGTTCATGGAAGAGGAATGGGGAAGAATGAAGAGGGTGGGGGAATGGGATTCTCAAAGGCGTGCAGCACCAGTTACAGTGTTACCAGCTCACTTTGTCATGGTACAAATGCTCCAACGGAGAGACTTTTGAGTCGACTCAAAAGTCACCTCAGTGAAGGAGCCTTCCTTCAAGGGCTCCTTCAAGGGAAGCATTCCAGCAGCAGAATCTCCCTACCTGTACTCCCGCGAACCACCTTAGCTGCTCTGCTGTAGCAGCACACACAGCCGTCTTGTGAGCTGGTGCGTGCTGCACTGCTGATAGCATGGCTTGGCGTAGGGCGGACAGGGAGGCTGCTGCCCCCACGGTGATCCCGTGCTCTGATTGGCTGATCTCTGAGAGCACAGGGATGGCTGCCACGTGGATGTAGGCTGGAGGGCTGGAAGGAGGAGGGATGGGGAAGGGGGAGAGAAAGATGAAATGGAAGAGGGAGAATGGGGGAAAGAGGCAACGGCGGAGAGAAAGGGAGGATGGGATTAGAATTGGCGATGAGAAAACGGAGCAGGGTCAACAGGCTCCCGCGAAACTTGGCTGCCCTAAGCACCTAATCCAACCCGGTTTCACCCATCTGCACCGCACTGCATCTCACCTGAGCCCCTTGAACCGCATCTCCACCCCGACCTCCGTGTTTCCCGCCACCACCTTGGCTGCAGGAAAAACTTCTCGCAGCGCCAACAGCTGGCGCAGCGTGATTGGCCGGAACCACACCGCCCGGCTCCTTTCCTTGCTGCTGCTAGCAGTGGGGGTGGAGCCGGTCTGTTGCAACAAGTATGTACAATCGCCGAGGCACAATGGAAGTGGGTGCCCGGATCGTTTCAGTAGCTCGGGAGGGAAGATAGGCTCAGACACTCCCAGCAGGTCAGCTTTGATGCCACTCGCTACCGCCGCTGCTGCTTCAGCTTTGGATGGTGCTAGTGCTGCTGCTGTTCCTGGCGCTGCTGTTGGTAGTGCTGCCCCTGATACTCCTGGTGAGCAGGGCTTGACTTTGCTGCACGTGCCATCTCCACAGCACTTAGCATCGAAACTTTGGGCAGATGAAACTTTCCCGCACGAACAGGGAAGGCCAGTGGAAGGGCAAACTGCTGCCCCAAGCTGCCCGTCAACAAGACCATCCCGAAGAGACATGTTTGAGGCACCATGAGAAGCAGCATTGGCGGCAGCGTCAGCAGCATAGGCAGCAGCGTCGGCGCGAGCAAAGGTGCGGAAGGCCTCGAGAATGGGGCGGTAGCCGGTGCAGCGGCACAGGTTGCCTGATATCGCCTCCTCTATCTCACCTTCGGAAGGCAACAGGGAGGAGGAGGACGCAGCGGAAGCAGAGGAAGCAGAGGAAGCAGAGGAAGCAGAGGAAGCAGAGGAAGCAGAGGAAGCAGAGGAAGCAGAGGAAGCAGAGGAAGCAGAGGCGGCTGGGGCAGCAAAGGAGGAGGCAGAGGAGGAGGCGGAGGAGGAGGCAGAGGTATAGGCAGCAGAGGAGGAGGAGCGGAGCAGGGCATACATGGACATGACAAACCCGGGCGTGCAGAAGCCACACTGGGAGCCGTGGGAGGAGGAGAGTGCCGCCTGCACCGGATGCAGCCTCCCCCGCATGCTGCCGATGCCCTCCACTGTAACCACAGCTGCCCCTTCTACGCTGTATAGAGGGGCCAGGCACGCGTTGACGGCACAGTGGCTGGTGGGTGAGGGGTGGAGAAGGAGAGAGAAGGGTCCGGAAGGGAAGAAGTGGGATATAAGAGGGAATTATGGGGATCAGGAAAGATAAGATTAAGGTTTTACAGTGCATCCAAAAGATCCTGCCTCCTTACGTCCATCCAATGGACTACCACTCACAATCTCACTCACTCACTCGGCCCCCTCATTCTCACTACCACTCTTCGCTTACCTGATCATGCCCGTGCTAGCGTCTACCCGCAACACCATCACAGAGCACGCCCCCCACTCGCCATCACAGTGCACGCCCCCCACTCGCCCTCTCGAGCCCCATTTAGAGGCCATGGTTCAATGAGCACGCCCCCCACTCGCCCTCTCGAGCCCCATTTAGAGGCCATGGTTCAATGAGCACGCCCCCCACTCGCCCTCTCGAGCCCCATTTAGAGGCCATGGTTCAATGAGCACGCCCCCCACTCGCCCTCTCGAGCCCCATTTAGAGGCCATGGTTCAATGAGCACGCCCCCCACTCGCCCTCTCGAGCCCCATTTAGAGGCCATGGTTCAATGAGCACGCCCCCCACTCGCCCTCTCGAGCCCCATTTAGAGGCCATGGTTCAATGAGCACGCCCCCCACTCGCCCTCTCGAGCCCCATTTAGAGGCCATGGTTCAATGAGCACGCCCCCCACTCGCCCTCTCGAGCCCCATTTAGAGGCCATGGTTCAATGAGCACGCCCCCCACTCGCCCTCTCGAGCCCCATTTAGAGGCCATGGTTCAATGAGCACGCCCCCCACTCGGCCCCCACAGGCCCCCCACTCGCCCCCCACTCGCCCTCTTCGCACCCAATGCGCACGCCCCCAACTCGCCCTCCTCGCACCCAATGCGCATGCCCACTATTTCACTCACCACCCGTCATCATTTACCAGATCCTGCCTGCCCCTTTATCTACCCACGACACCATCACAGCGCACTCCCCTCACCCGCCCTCCAGACTTACTGGCGCGTGCACACTCTCACTCTTACACACCCTCCTCTCTTTTGAGTCAACTCAAAAGCCGCTCTCCAGACTTACCGGCGCATGCACACTCTCACTCTTACACACCCTCCTCACTCACCCACCCACCTTCCCCACCGTTACTCACCTGATCCTGCCCGTGCTAGCGTCTACCCGCGACACCATTACAGTGCACACCCCACACCCGCCCTCCTCGCACCCAATGCGCATGCACACCATTTCACTCGCCACCTTCCCCACCGTTACTCACCTGATCCTGCCCGTGCTAGCGTCTACCCGCGACACCATTACAGTGCACGCACCGCACCCGCCCTCCCCGCACCCCAGCTTCGTGCCTGTCAGGCCATTGTCTGTGGCGTTGTGGGGGGGAACGGGGACGGGAAGAAAAGGGGGGAAGCCGGATGCTACTAGTGGTCACAACCGTCAGCCGCATGAAGCACGAGATGGAGCAAGCGTCAGAAACACGAGACGTCGCGCGTGACCCGTTAAGAGCAAAAAAAGCGACAACCGAAAAAACACCCGGCTGAACCTTGAAACAAATAAAAGCAAATAACGCAAAAGCGTTCCTCAATAAGCTAAATATAATCAACATAACCATAAGTCGATTTTCAAGGAGGCAAGTCGGGCCTCGGCCGTACCGCGCAGGAACTGCAGCAGCGTGGTGTCGGCGTGACCTACGGGGAGCACGAACCGCCGGCCATTGACGAACACCACGGGCTCTGTCGCAGAGGCTTCGCGAAAGAACGTGTTGAGTTCGTTGTCGTCCATTGCTTATTCGCAAACTAATATGATGGAGCAGGGCGGCTCGCGAATCAGGCTACAAGCAACTGTAAATTCAAGTGTGGGCAATCACTACTGAAAGCATGGTCAGAGTAAGCTTGCCATGCCAACACAAGTTTTGGCGGGGAAATGTGATGCGGCGTTCTTACTGACGATTTCGCTGTTGTTACGAGTGCAATTGAGTGAACGAACGAGAATTGCACTATCGAAGCAAAGAGTACAATGAGCGAAGGCATGAGCGAAGGATTATATAGCGAAACAATAGTGGTAACGGTAATGGACTGTGGTTGTCGCGCGACGAGCCTGGGGCTGAGGTTGGGAAAGTGTCGAAGCGTAGGCCCGGAGCGCGGGTTACCAGCCGAGCCGTGAGGTTGGGATGCGATGTGCGAAGAGGGCGGGATAATGAATGATGCGATGGTCGTGAGTGGTAACGGTGCTGACTGAGGTGCTACAGTGACGTACGCGTTGAGCAGGGACGCGAAGTAAGGAAAAGGGAATTTCCTTACACTACCCCCCTCCCCAAGGAGGCCCCTCTTACGAGAGCGCATGGACGTCGCGGAAATTTCGGCTTCGCAGATACTCGGGGAAGACAGGGTGGTTCTCAATTTTATCCAGGGGGACCCAGTTGTCTTCTGTGGGCGTTCGGTCCTTCCAGCGAATTAGGAACTCTATCCTTCGGGCTCCCCGAGGGTCGCGGACTCGGTGGCTGAGGATTTTTTCAGGGGTGATGAGTGGTTCGGTTGGGGGACGTGTCATGCTGGCTGGGCGATTTCGTGGCAGTTGGCTCGTGGATGGGATGTAAGGGCGAAGTAGGCTGACGTGGAATGACGGGCTGACGTACCAGTCAGCAGGGAGTAGGAGGTGGGCGGTGACGGGTGTGATCATGTGGCTGATGCGGAATGGCCCACAATACCGGGGGCGAAGTTTTGGAGTGATGGGCAGGCGAAGATTCTGAGTGTCGAGTAATACGAGGTCGTCGGGCTGATAAGTAACGGGTCTGCGATGTCGATCGGCGTTACGTTTAGCGATGATGTTTGATTTTTTGATTGCTTCTGCTGCCCTGGTCCGTGCTGCTTGCAGAATCTCGGCGAACTGTTGTGCTCGTGGGACTGGGTTGTCGGGATTCGGTGTCATGGGTACTGTTGGGTCCTGTCCGTAATTCAAATAAAACGGCGACTGTTGCGTCGTGGCTGATGGTGCGTTATTGTATGCGAACTCGATAAGTGGCAGCTGCTGTTCCCACGTATTCGGGTCGTCGCACGTGGCTCGAATCAGCTGCTCCATGGTCTGATTTGTCCGTTCCGTCTGTCCGTCGGTTTCGGGGTGATAGGATGAACTGAACTGTAAGCGCGTGCCGAACTGCTGCCACAGGTTCCGCCAGAAGTTGCTGGTAAATTTCGTGTCCCTGTCGCTGATGATCGACGCGGGTATCCCGTGCAGTCGTACGACGGTGGAGATGAATAGTCGGGCGGTTTCTTCGGCTGTGATGGATTTCCTGCATGCTGCGAAATGAGCCATTTTCGTTAGTCGATCGACGACGACCAGGATCGCGTCATTCCCACTCGCCCCAGCTGGTAACCCCGTGACGAAGTCCATCGTCACTTGCTGCCAAGCACGCTCTGGAGGCGGGATGGGTTGTAATTGCCCCGCTGGTCGCTTCCTGCTTGACTTCATGAGCTGGCAAGTGGGACACGATGCCACGTGTCGTTGCACATCGGTCAACATTTCTGGCCAGTAGTAGTACCGCTGCAGCTGCTGCCGTGTTTTTTCTACCCCGAAATGTCCCGAGGTAACTCCGTCGTGTGCTTCCTGTAACAGTAGTTCCCGCAGTAGCGTGTATCCTGGTACCCAGATGCGGTCGGTTCCAGTTTTTACGTAATAGACTCCTTTTGCCGCTGCGAATTGCTGTGAGTTGCCTCCTGTAAAGAACGAGTCTGTTTGATATCCGTGGGTAAATAGGCCGGTAAGCAGTGGGCTGGTCTGGGCGAGTAGTATCGCGTGGATCTGGGCAGTGGGGCGGGTCAGTGCGTCGGCGATATTCGATGCTCCTTTTTTGTATGTGACCGTATAGTGAAAGTTCGACTCGAGGAAATCGAGCCATCGAATCTGTCGTGGGTTGAGGTGGGGCTGTGCGCGGAGGTACTGTAGAGATCGGTGGTCTGTCCGTACTATCACGTCTGCGCCAGTCAAGTAGCAGCGCCAAACTTTGAATGCATGCACGATCGCGAGCATTTCGCGGTCGTGTATCGGGTAATTTCGCTCAGGCGGATGTAGTTTGCGTGATTCGTAGGCGATGGGTTGGAGGCCGTTGCCGAAGTCCTGTAACAGTACAGCTCCGATGGCGATGTCACTTGCGTCGGTAACCACTTCGAAAGGGCGGTGGGGATCAGCGATACGTAGAACGGGTGGTGAACAGAGGACGTTTTTTAGGGCAGAGAAGGTAGCATGCTCTTTCTCCCCCCACGTAAAAGCGACCCCCTTACGCAGTAAATCAGTTAGTGGGGCTGTTAAACGTGCCATGTCGGGCACGAACCGTCGAACGTAATTAACAAACCCTAAAAAACTCTGCAGTTCCGTGATGTTTGTCGGAGGGCGCCACGCTTTTACCGTATCCAGCTTCTTTGGGTCGATCTCAACCCCAGCCTCGGAAATGACGTGACCTAAAAACTCTAGCCTATCCCTAAAAAACTCGCACTTGGAGCCCTTGGTGAGCAGCCGATGTTCCTCTAAAACCTTAAAAACTGCTTCAAGATCTGCTAAGTGTTGCTGCTTATCCCGACTGTAAACGAGGATATCGTCGAGGTAAACGATCACGCATTTATCTAAAAGTGGTCTAAACGCCTCGTTCATGGTCATCTGAAAAGTCGCAGGCGCGTTCGTCAACCCGAAAGGCATTACTGTATACTCGAATGACCCGTACCTAGTCCTAAATGCTGTTTTTGCGCAGTCCGATGGTTCGACCCGAATCTGATGGTAACCTCCCCGTAAATCTATTTTCGAAAAGACACGTGCTGTTCGCAGTTGGTCAATCAGTTCGTCGGCGCGGGGGATGGGGTATCGCGATTTGACTGTTACTCGGTTAAGCGCTCGGTAGTCGATGCACATGCGAAAACCTCCGTCTTTTTTCGGTGTGAACAGTATGGGTGCGGCGAACGGTGACGAGCTTGGTCGAATAAACTGCTTCTCTAACAGGTAATCTAACTGCTTCCTTAACTCGTCGAGCTCGGGCTGTGTCAGTCGAAATTGCCGCTGTACTGTTGGCTGTGCCCCCGGTTCTAGCTCGATCCTGTGGTCGTGCGCTCGCTGAGGTGGCAGTCCCTGTGGTAAATCATCCGGAAATATCCCCGGGAACCGTTTCAGTAGTGCCTGTAATTCGGTCGGTACGGCTGCTAGTAGTTTCTCTAAATCACTCTGTTGCTCGTCTTTTTCTACCACTGCGATATCCACTGCGTACACGTCAGCTCCAGCAGCGACAGCCCGTTTCATCGTGATGGCGTTGACCTGGACTGTCGAAGATTCGGGTGGCCGCCAGCGAGGTAGGACGACCCAGTTACCACTACTTCGCACTGTGCAGCTCCCCGTCGTCCAGTCGATCCGTGGGTTGTACCGTCGCAGCCAATCACGTCCCAGTAAAATTTCGTGCCCATCCAGCGTCGTTGCGAGCATTTCCTGTGTAAACCCGAAGTTTCCCCCGCAGCGGACTTTTACTCGCTCCACTTTTTCTCGTATGGCCAATGGCGTGCCGTCGACTAAGCGTGCATCTATCTCAGGTAAACATCGGTTAAGTGTTAACTGTAATCTCCGTGCGGTTGCAGTATTAACTAAGCTGTGACTTGCCCCTCCGTCAATGAAGATTTTCACTGCTGCTCCCTGTATTTTCCCGTAGATCAGTACCGGGCAATCCGTCGCTGTACCCTCCTTATTCATCCGAGCCCGATCGATGGCGTGAATCGGTACTGTGACTCGGTGAGGGTCGGTGTGGTTGGGCGAGCAGGCAGTCTCGTCAGTAGTTGGCCCAACTTCTACTGACTGCTGGCGTTTCCCTGCCTCCGAGACTCCTTCCCCTGCTCTGCTCCTCGACGCCTCATCTCCTCTGGACATTCGCTCTTGCGATGGCCCGGCCGGTTGCAAGCAAAGCAGCGCCCTCTAAATGGCGTGGCAGCTGCATTCGTTGCGACGGCATGTACAGTGGCGTGCTCGATCGGTCCCCGAGGACGATGTCCGAAATAGGACCCCGGTCTCGGTCGGCGTAGGATATCGATTTTCTCGGCGAGCACGAGGATTTCGTTGAAATTCGATAGCCCGCGTAGCATTATCTCGTGCGATATGTCCGGCTTCAGCCCTCCGACGTAACGGTCCACCCGCTCCGCCTCGTGCATGTAGCCGACCTGTTCGCAAAGTGCGAGAAAACCGCTGGTGTAGTCTTGAACCGACCCGAGCTGGCGCCAAGTGCGCAGTTTCTGACGCGCCGAAATCGAAGCCGCGATCGGCTCAAAACGCGCCCGAAGCCCTGCGCACCACGCATCCCACGTGCTGTATTGGGCTGTTTCGCAGAACGAACTCCAGGTGACAGCTGGACCCGAGGGCCCTTCCTCGTGCGACGGTGGCTCGTAAGCGCGTGGCGACGTCACGATGACTCGCCACCAGTCCATGGCGGGGCCCCTGAGTAGTGAAACCGCATACCGAATCTTGGCGGCGTCCGACTCGACGTAGTTGGCGTCGAAAAACACATTCATCGTGAAGACCCATGATTGAACTGTCGGGCCGCCGCGTTGGCTTGGGTCGAAGCAGGGCGGGCGTTGCGGCTTGAGTGGCATTGGGGCCATCGTGGCGTTTTCACCACTCGTCGTCGCAAACTCCACGTGCCGACGGGCTTCTCGGGGCTCCCGTGGGCTTAGCGTGCTCCTGTTCCCTCCCATGCCGGGCATCGGTTGGGCTGCGCCGTCACTGGCTGCGCCTGAGCGCTGTCCCGTGCTGTTGTGTTGCGTTGGTGTGCCGGATGAAATGATAATCGGCTCCTCCGAATGTACAGAGACATTGGTTGGTGCATGGGATGTTGTCGGAGCATTCACCGTTGACTGTTGACGAGCGGAGTCACGTTCCGCCGTGAGCGTCGCGATTTCAAGCGCCGAATCCTCCAATTGTCGCACGAGACGATCGAGTTGCTCCTGCGTCAACGTGGCGAGAGTGAGGTCGGCCATGGCGGGGGTGTCGGGCAAGCTCAGCGAGAGCCTCGGTCGTGGCCGTGCGTGCTTGCGAGAGAGCACTACGAGCGGCGGTGCTGTGTCGCTGAGAGACGTCTACCCCCCCCAAAAATTGAGATAGTGGGAAGCGAAGGTGTGGATGCGGTCCGAGATGAGATCGTAGGCTCTGATTACCAAGTGTTACGAGTGCAATTGAGTGAACGAACGAGAATTGCACTATCGAAGCAAAGAGTACAATGAGCGAAGGCATGAGCGAAGGATTATATAGCGAAACAATAGTGGTAACGGTAATGGACTGTGGTTGTCGCGCGACGAGCCTGGGGCTGAGGTTGGGAAAGTGTCGAAGCGTAGGCCCGGAGCGCGGGTTACCAGCCGAGCCGTGAGGTTGGGATGCGATGTGCGAAGAGGGCGGGATAATGAATGATGCGATGGTCGTGAGTGGTAACGGTGCTGACTGAGGTGCTACAGTGACGTACGCGTTGAGCAGGGACGCGAAGTAAGGAAAAGGGAATTTCCTTACAGCTGTACGGATTATGCAAGTGATGCTAAGACCGCCTTTGTATAGTAGAATACTATACAGTGATGACCTCAAAGTCAAGTGCCAACATCAAATTACCTGTCACCACTGGTTTTTATAATTCAAAATTCTCTCTACTCTGTGATTAAAGATTCCAGCTTGATGATAAAGGAGAAAAAACTACGGTAATGATCTATGAACCATATTATGCTTTTATTTGAGACAATAGAGCATTTTCCTGTTAGCAGGTCAGCTCTAATCTACTACAATGCAAGCTTCTTGATTCCTGGGAAAGAGGGTCGAATTGCCACAAGAGCATCGCCAAACCCAACCGCATCCCCATCCTCCACCAGGAATTTGACCACCTCTCCTGCATTCTCCGACTGGGTTACACCAAATAAAACATTGCACCATTGAACCAAACGGGAAAAAGGGGAGCACAGGACGGGATTGCTGTTATGAGAGGGCCATGCAGGCAGTGGTGATTCAGGAGAGCACAGCAGGCATGGCTCAGGAGAATCGCCAGGTGTGGCACACACAAGACAATGAACACGCTCATATCTAGGGTGTAAAACAGGTCCTTAGGAAGCCTACACAATGAAACATTTCCAGAAGGAGCATACCTCGATCGCGAGTTGGGTTCCAAGCTGCTCTAGATAGCACACCACCTGCCCCTTCTTTATCTCCGAGCCCTGATAGATGAAAGAAACAAACAACAGCAGCACATGACAGACAAGAGCCAAATAAAATTTGTGTTACCAGCGTCATCTTGCAGCTAGTGTAAATCCATAGCATGTGGGCGCAAGGCACATGCAACAGTGGCAACGCCCAGTGAGTTCACCCAGAATGGCATGATGCACTTGGACGCAACGCAGACGCACACGCAACACTTTCCATTTAGCTGCCAACACTCTTCCTGATCCACATAACTCCATTCGGTTTCTTCCCTTCCCCAGCACTCCCCCTTTCACCTCCTTCCCTTCTCTCAGCCTGATCCCATTGGCGAGCTCTTGACCTCGTTGACCAGCTCTTGACCTCGTTGACGAGCTCTTGACCTCGTTGACGAGCTCTTGACCTCGTTGACCAGCTCTTGACCTCGTTGACCAGCTCTTGACCCTGTTGACCAGCTCTTGACCCCGTTGACCAGCTCTTGACCCCGTTGACCAGCTCTGGACCCCGTTGACCAGCTCTTGACCCCGTTGACCAGTTATTGACCCCGTTGACCAGCTCTTGACCTCGTTGACCAGATCTTGACCTCGTTGACCAGCTCTTGACCTCGCTGACCAGCTTGACCTTCTCAACCAGCTCATTCTCACCTCAGCGACTAGCGGCTTGCCCTTCTTGCCCTTGACCTGCCGACCACGGCGCATAATTCCCACCTGTTGGAATGTGGAGCGGGGGATAGGGGGAAAAGAAGTCAGAGACAAGAGAAGGGACGAGGGAAGGTGGAGCGGGCGAGCACAACAGAATTTTATGCGAAGTTATGTAGCCAATAATTTGCAAAAGGATGAGAACAAGAGGAGGAAAGGCAGGTTGTCGCCCCTTTACTAGAAATGTCATCGCTGCTGATATATTCTAGTATTAAATCCCCCACCAGGTGAAACGGTGACATTCGTTTGCAGGTCCTATCCAGTGGTAATAATATGTCATGGGTGGTGCTATGGTGCGTCAGTAGTAACCCCTCGTTTAAACCCGAAACCCTGGTCTATCAATCAATACAGCAGCACGGAGGTCATATATCAAAGCCTTCACGCACGCCCCTCTCACTTTCAGCCACAGAAGAGCACAGCTACAGGCAGGGGATGGGCAGCAAAAGCACAGGTTTATCTGTCAACTCACTCGTGGCGAGGTCACGTATTGAAGCCCTTCATCCACGCCTGCCTCGCTCTCAGCCACAGCAGGAGGCGCAGCAACAGGCGCAGGAGGGGCAGAGGCAGCAGCCAGGGACGTGGGCGAAAGCGAGTCGAACATGGGGGGAAGGGGGGCGTGCGGCGCATAGGCTTGCGCCTGCGCGGCCTTGACCCCGCCCACGTCCCTCAGCACGTGCAGCTCCATCTTGCCGATCTGATTGAGTCCGGCAGGTGGCGATTGGGGAGATGGGAGCCATCATGGTAGCGTAAGTTGGAATGAAAGTCAGGTAGAAAAGGACGTGTGCGATAGAAATGAATGGGCTGGACTTGAGTAGACGTTTCCTTCTTCTTATTTTGGAGGGGGGGGGGTCATACCTTGATTCTGAGCTCGGCGATGTTGGTCTCGTCGCAGAGCTCCATCAGCAGCGACTGGATCTGAGAGCGCCATGACGGGGGGTTGAACAAATGAAGTGAAACGATTCAATAACTTGTAATGAGCCAGAAACATCAGCGAGCCTTGTCGCAGATGTCCATCAGCAGCATCACGAAGAACTTTACAGATGATTCAGTCATAACCCGTGTTCATTTATTAAGAGGAAGAATCGAGGATTATCACTCGCACATAGGAAGACAACAACAGGAACGCACCTCGAAGGAAGTCGCACGCTCGCTATTAGGTCAATTAAAATGACACGTAAATACTCGCACATCAGAGGGCATCTGAAGAAACGCACCTCGAAGGCAGTCGGAACAGGGAGGTCATCATGAATGCTCTCAGCAGCCTCCTCCTCCTCTTTGTCCTGTTCGGCCTTGACCTTCTCCTCTGCTTTATCTCCTTGGACAACTGTGCATGAAACGGAACGACCGAAGGACCAAGAAAGGTAGAAGGGAGCAGTTAGGAGGAGGAATATCTGACTGACCGTCTAAGTTAACAGGCGTAAAAGCCCTGTAATAGCTCTTTATCGTCCTAAAATCCGAGAGACTTCTCACTTCGTCCGATTCGAGAACCCGTAAACCAATCAAACATAGTGACTAGTAGCAATCCTTTGCCGGCTCAGAATCTGCGGATCTTACGCCGGTCAGTGGCGATCGCATGCCTTGTCTGGATCGAGGCTCTCCGCGAAGGGGCAGCGAGCCGCAGAGGCGAGGTCGCTGCGATTCGCGAAGACGACGATTGCGAAAGGGAGCTCGCGGGTTGTGGAGATGACGCGGATGCGGATGCAGCGATGCGCGCTACGGCCGTGGCAACTGCTCGGGCAAAATGGGGGATACCAAGGTTCCATTCAGCAACGATCTATTTGACTTGGCATTTGTTGCAATTCCGCGCAAAAATGACACGAACATCGTACAGCAAATTTTAGAGGTCACGTAGAAAACCAAGAGCACCTTGAGAGGAGGTGGTGACAGCGGCCATATTCCCTTCAGTCTCGGCTGATTCAGACAATCTCAGCGAGCAGCAGGTCAACTAGTGCTGTGATTAGGAGCTATTGACTGACTTCAGGGCTTGACAAAAAGCCTTCGAAGGAGCCGGAGCAAGACGGTTAGCCTCTGCCTCGGTTTCGCCGAAGGAACTCCGACGCCAAGTCACGGCTGTGCGATGACTGATCTGTATGAAATGAATCTGTCCGATGAACTGTAATGGTGTTGGTGGTATGAGATCACGATTCACGATTCGAGAACTCGAGAAGGCATATGGCTGGCTGGGGGGATGGTCTCGCTCGTCGATTTCTGTGACTGCTGCATGCTGCTGCTGATGCGGTTGGAGGCACTCAGAATTGCATCTCCCTTGGTTTCATCGCGTGACGAGGATCAATGTCTACGTCAGATCGAACGGCACTGAGCAGTTGACGGATCATCTGAGGCCGCGTATCGACGGTTGGAGGCTGTCGATTTGCCGACGCCAGCGAAACGCTTGGGTGAGATGGCATGAAGCAGCGGTGAAAGTGACAAGGACAGAACACGCAGGACAGCCACATGTTGGGGTGGTCCAACCTCGATGTCTCGTCGAATCGATCGATGCATTGGAGGTTGGGCGGCGCGGTCACTGCTCAAATGCTGGAGGGAAACGATAAGATGCACGGTGCGGGTGCTTAGTGGCCAAGCATTGTCTGGTGATGTGGCACTGTCTGCGTTTGTGACAGCTCCGCTGAATAGTTCGAGATGTCGAGTTACCCAATCAGAATGTGTTCTTTACGAAGCTCATAGAGACAACCCACCTTCCACGAAATGTTGATGCGCTGTGAGTCAGCTATTCCAAGCTGGCACCGTTGCAAGCAAAAATATAGCAGGAATGAGGTGAACTTCATCGGAATGTTTGTTTCCCTCACACGAACGAGGTGATGAGCTCCAGCGTCAAGCGGCTCCCTTGAGCTGTTTTGGTTTGCTTGAGGATTGTCGTCTGGAGTCTCTGAAAGACTAATCTGGTTTCAGCTTCCACTCCTGGATTTCTGACAACAGTCTAACCCAGATGAGGCATAGTGGGCCTAACTTAATCTGTGTACGTATTATCCTGCGGTTGCTTGGTCATGCAGAGGTCACCAGCGAGCTAGCTAGGCTTTCTCCAGCTCTGACAGGCTCACTGATATCTCATTATTCAAGGCAACATCAATTTCGTCGACAGCTCAAGGCGTTCTTACACTGGACTATTCGTTTATCGCACGTTGATACGGGTAGAGCGGCCCCACTTTCGACCAGGCTGAATGTTCTGACCTCTTCGTCAATCCATTCAGCAGGCTCATTTCATTCACCAGGCTCAGCCTGTTACTGAGCAGCTTCAAGCATGAACGTGCTCATTTCATTCACCGTGCATTATGCTGATTCTTCAGGCAAGGCTTATTGACAACCTTAGACATCAACACGTGCTCTATCCCAGCCCTGAATCGTGGCTCAAGCCCTGTAAGGTTTACGTTTGTCTGCAATGAACCGTCTGACAATCATTTATGTCCTTTCAGGAAAATTACTGTTTCTTTTTCTAGTCGAAAGCAAGGAGCTTGGTTCAACGAAACTGATGAATTCTTCCCGTTTTCTTTAGCTCTCTATCAAAGCTGGGGCTGCAGCAATCTTTCATGTACCACGATTGTCCAAGCCAAAAAAATGGGATGGTTCACTGATATAAGCAACACATTTACCACGTATGAAGCTTGCTCGCAGCAAGCGTCCATGAACCGGTCCAGTGGTACAGCTGACCTGAACAACATAAATGCAGCATTATTTAGAGGACCTGCTTGTCTACAGACTCTAAGCAGGAATTCGTTCCCACAAGAGGTGGTGACTCCCCTTCACCCAAGGAAAATGAAGGATAAAACGTGGGACTGTCTGTAATCCCATCCATATCCTGCTTGAACGTCAGGACAGGTGTTGGAATGCTGTCCATACAGCGGCCTTGATCTAGCTGCACTTCGTCTGTGGTGTGCACCTGACTTGCAGGCAGATGCTGCTGAGGTTCCACGAATTGCTGGTGGGAATCTAGCGGATGTGAGTGATTGGGCAATGGGTTAGGTGTTAGTTGTTGCTCTTCTAGTACCCTCCAAGCCTCCTCAAGATCATGCTGTTGCTGTGCCCCAGAAATCGGGATTTCCTGCTGCTGCTGCGGCTGCTGCTGTTCCTGAGACCACTCCTGCTGCTGCTGTTCCACGTACCGTAGCTCCGGCAGCTGTTGCGAGCCCTGATCCCCCCCATGGGAAAAGGTTGCACTGGCCTCTAGAATCTGTTCTTGCTGGTGCTGCTGCACCCAGTTCCCTTGCTGCTGCTGCTGCTGCTGCTGCTGCTGCTGCTGCTGCTGCTGCTGCTGATGCTGCTGTCCGTATGGCTCTTGCTGATACCCAGGATGCTCCTCATGCTGTTGCTGATTTGAATACTCGTGCTGATGCTGTCCCTGCTGATCTGATTGCTGCTGCGCTACTACTTGTTGCCCCTCCGCTGTATGTCCCGGAGTATAGCCTTCTGGATTGTTGCTTGATGTGCAAACCATCATGGCATCTGATGGCATCAGTCCCCCAGGGAAACCTGATGGCCATTGAATGGCATGTGCGGAAAGGCCTCCTGTTGCCATGACTCCTGACGACGTGGCTTCTGATGGTATGGCTCCTGATGAGGTGGCTAATGAAGCCACATCACGTGATGGGTATTGATATGACGGGAAGGAACTTGACGATACTTGCTGAGGTTGGCCTCCAGGATTTGGTGAAACGCCATGCACGGGCTCAGGAATTTGCTGTGGCAGTTGATTTACGCATTGTAGTTGCTGCAAGCCAGGCTGAAAGGGCGGTGGTACTGATATACGATGCAAGGCCTGTGACGTGTTCTCCAAAGAGTATTTTGCACTCTCCCCCACATCCCCCATCCGCGCATCTTGCCCTGCAGAAATCAGCGACGGCATGGCATCAGGGGGTATGCTGTTGGGACCTGGCAGGGAGGCGCATGACGAGTTGTGGTGAAATGGCTTTTCAATCGACTCAAAATTGGATTGAACAGGTGATGAAGCTGATGGAGGGTGGTGATGGTGGCTCACGTGCTGGCACGTGCACGAAGTGTGCAACAGAGTGCTGCTGGAGTTTTCCAGAAGTGGCTCTTGCTGCGGCTGCTGCTCCTGCTGTTGGTGCTGCTGGTGCTGCTGTTGATGCTGCTGGTGCTGCTGTTGGTGCTGCTGTTGGTGGTGCTGGTACTGCTGTTGGTGCTGCGGCTGCTGCTCCTGCTGTTGGTGTTGCTGTTGCGGCTGCCGTTGATGTTGCTGGTATTGCTGTTGCTGGTGGTAATGGTGTTCGTGGTGCTGCTGGTGCTTTTGGCTAGTAAGGGACTCATGGTTGTTACTCTGAAGGCTGGGAGCAGCGGCATACAACTGCTGCTGCTGTCCCTGAGGGAATGAGTGCTGAAACTGACTGTGCACTAGCATCTGCTCCAATCCTTGCTGTTCATGTTGCGCCTGCCTGTGCTGCTGCTGTTGCTGCTGATCCTGCTGGTGCTGAAGCCGTTCATTTAGACCTTGCGCCCCCCCCACCCCATCCATCCCCTCTGCACGACCCATCATACACCCTCCTCCCTGAACCAACCCATCCTGACCCGGACCCCCATCCACATTCCCTCCTCGACTCTCGTCGAACGAGACCCTGCTATGAGGTGACTTCTGAGACGACTCAAACGACACCTCCACTCCACCCATCACATTCCCGCCTCCCTGCACCAACCCACCCTGACCCAGACCCCCATCCACACTCCCTCCTTGACTCACATCAAACAAGAACCTGCTTTGGCTCAACGGAAACGCACCGCAGGTTTGGGTTGACGAGTTACGTTCCAATCTGTGTCGCCGCAGGGAGGGCGCATCTGGGGGAGGCCATGAGTGCGACCCGGACAATGCAGCAGGTGGGGACTGACTGACGCATTGCAGAGGCGTGTTGGGGCGTATGAGAGGCGGAGTGGAAAGGCGCAAGGGCGACTGGGGATTTGAATCCGCAAAGCAGTGTGCAGGGCTGTTAAGTGCTGCTGGGCTGTTAAGTGCAGGGCTGTTAAGTGCTGGGCTATTAAGTGACCTGTGTGGTTGGAAGGGCAGCTGTGGAGGATTGATCTGCAGTGTTTGGGGCAAGGTTGGGAGGCGCAAGGGAAGGAGTCTTTTTGCGTAATCTAGGGACGGACGCTTCGCCTCTCTTTGATTTTCATCTTCCTGCTGCTGCTGCTGCTGCTGCTGCTGCTGCTGCTGTTGCGGCTGGTGCTGTAGATGATGCTGATAATTATGTTTTTGCTGGTGTTGGTGATGGTAGTTCTGCTGCTGCTGATTGTTTGTCAGGTGCTGTTGTTGTTGTTGCTGCTGCTGCTGCTGCAGCAATTGTGGTCCTTGTGGCTGGTGCTGCCACGGTTGCTGCTGCTGCTGCGGCTGCTGCTGCCAGGGCCATTGTTGCTGCTGCCATGGCTCTTGCGACACCTTCAGTTCTTGATACTGACGTGACAGGCATGCACCCTCCTCGCTCTGACTATGCTGCTGACTGCCCTGCTGCGGTTGCTGCTGTGGCTGCCGATGCACTTGCCCCTGCACTTGCCGCTGTGCTTGCAGCTGCTCTTGCTGCTGCACTTGTTGCTGCTGGTGGTGCTGAAGTATTTGAGATTGGTTGTATGCTGCTGTCATCGGTTCGCCACATTGCTGATTCTGATTGTGCTGATGCTGCTGGTGCTGTTGATCCGACTGCTGCGGCCAATGGTGCCCCTGGTGCTGCCTTTGTTGTGGGTCCACCTGATAATACCCCTGAGTTTGATTCTGTTGGAACACCAGTTCTTGCTGGTGGCCCCCAAAGGGCGGCGGCTGCATTTTCTCCTGGCCATGCACCTGAAACGTATGAAGCGTATGTTGCGGCGGCTGCTCCACGTGTAGCTGTTGCTGTTGCTGCTGGTGTGGCTGCTGCTGTTGCAGATGTTGCTGTTGCTGCTGGTGCGGCTGCTGCTGTTGCGGCTGTTGTTGTTGCTGCTGGTGCGGCTGCTGCTGCTGCGGCTGTTGCAGCAGGTGGGTCTGCTGCTGGTGGTGGTGGTGTGGCTGCTGCTGTTGTTCAGTGAGCATTTGAGTATGCTCATGGTGGTGCTGTGGCTGTGTGAGCACTGGATACTGCTCATGCTGATTCTGAGGCACAACTGGTGCGTATGATTGCTGCTGCCACGCCTGCTGCACTTGCTGTTGTAGCTGCTGCTGCTGCACTTGCTGTTGTAGATGATGCTGCTGCTGCGGCAACGGCAACGGCGGCAGCCATGGCTGCTGCTGTTGTTGCTGCTGTAGCTGTGGAGCTTGCGGCTGTTGCTGCGAATGCTGCTGCGGTTGTTGCTGCGAATGCTGCTGCGGTTGTTGCTGCGAATGCTGCTGCGGTTGTTGCTGCGAATGCTGCTGCGGTTGTTGCTGCTGCCACTGCTGCTGCTGCTGCTGTTGTTGCTGCCACTGATGCTGCTGCTGCTGCGGCTGCTGTTGCTGTTGTTGTTGTTGTTGCTGCTGCTGATGCTCTTGTTGCTGCTCCTGTTTTTGCTGCAGGTATGGTATTGGAGGAACCATTGGCCCATGCTGCTGCTGCTGCAGTTGCTGTTGAGAAGATTGTGACACCTGTTGTGCCTGCCATCGTGACTCGCCCCCACTCCACGCTCCTTCCTCCACCTTCACCCCCATCATGTGCCCGCTCGCTTCCACACCACCTGCTCCTGTTGCCAATGCTCCTGCCGCTGATGCTGCCGCTGCTGCTGCTTCAGTCGCTGCTGCTGCTGCAGTCGCTGCTGCCGCTCCAGGTCCCATGACTACTGCCCCTGCTGCATTCAAGCTCACTCCTGGCCTGAACGTCCCTGCACCTGAAGTCATAGTAACCGCCACTGACGAACCCCCTCCCAGCGTCTCCCTCCCAGGAACAGTACCCCGTGCTTCAGGCGCTGTATCTGGTGGCCCAGCTGGACTCCAAGGGACTGCCGCCCCTCCTGGGCTGGCAAATGCTGCCGCCCCTCCTAGGCTGGCAAATGCTGCCGCCCCTCCTGGGCTGGCAAATGCTGCCGCCCCTCCTGGGATGGCAAATGCTGCCGCCCCTCCTGGGCTGGCAAATGCTGCCGCCCCTCCTGGGCTGGCAAATGCTGCCGCCCCTCCTGGGCTTGCAAGTGCTGCCGGCCCACCTGGGCTGGGAAATGGCACCGCTGCCGCCCCTCCTGGGCTGGGAAAAGTCGCTGCCGCCCCTCCTCCAGGGCTGGGAAATGCTGGCGCCGCTCCTGCGCTCGCAAATGCTGCCATCCCACGTCCGTCTGCCACTCCACTTGCCGCCCCTTGTGCCACACCACTTACCACTCCTCCCGCCGTGCTTGCTCCTCCGACCCCGTCCGCCACATTCCCCTGCCGGAACAGGTTCCCGTTTCGGACCGAGCGATTCACTCCAGGAGAAAATCCGGAATCCGCAGGCCGTGGTGCTCCGATGGGGGCGGAGGGGGAAATTGGAGAGGCGGCCATGGGATGGTTATGCTCGTGAAGGTATGTCACTTCAAACGAAACAGGACCTGCACTCGCACTGCCGTCTAGACTAAACTGCCAGTCCACCTGCTTCTTTGCCGGACACGGCTCAAAATGGCACATTCCGCCGCCGCCGCTTCCGCCGGTGCAGCCGCTTCCGCTGGCGCCGCCGCCGCCACCGTTCGCGCTCTTCTCTCCGCTCCCACCGCCGCCGCCGATGCCGCTCGTAGTGAAGGCGGGCCGGGTCACTGCCCCGCCGCCGGTCGCGCCGCTTGCGCTGGTCTTATTCCTGGTGCCGCTGATGGGAGTGCCACTGCTGCTGGGAGTGCTTTTGCAAGGAGTGCTTTTACTGGGAGTGCTGCTGCTGGGAGTGCTTCTAGCGCCAGCGGAAAGAGCTTTGGATGGCGGCGGTGGGGTAACGGCCCTGTCGTGTTTCGGTGTTATCGTCTCCATTGCTGCAGATGTACCTGACCCTGGCCCGGATCCAGGTGGGCCGGTGGATGCAAGTTGCCCGGATTCAGGCGGCCCGGATCTAGATGGTCCTGTCCCGGATGGGCTTGACCCAGACGGCCTTAAACCAGGCTCCCCTGACCCGGGTGGCCCGGATCCAGGTAGTTCAGATGTTGCCACAGGCTCGGTTGGTGCAGATCCAGTTGCTAATGCACCCGAGGGCACTGCTGCTGCTTCTGCTGCTCCTCCTCTTGCCCCTCCTGCTCCTGCCGCTCCTGCTCCTGCTCCTGCTCCTGCTCCTGCTCCTGCTCCTGCTTCTGCTTCTGCTGCACCTGCTGCTGCTGCTGCTGCTGCTGCTGGTCCCAAACTCTCCGCTGATGTCGTTCGAAGCATTGAGCTAGCGCACTTGAAGTATGACCTGGGGAAAGTAGCAGGTGGGGGGATGGGGGGAATGGGGGGGAATGAGGGGGAAAGGAAGGGGTTAGGGAGGGGTAAGGGGGGGATAAGGGGGGGTGAAAGGGGGGGGGGGGGGGGGGGGGGGGAAGGGGGAGAGGCATCCAAAGACAGATCAAGAGAAAAGTCTCGAGAGGCCAGACATTCACCCTCACCCCGTTCTTTCTTTTTCGTTCCCCTCCCCATCACCTTCCCTCCTTCCTCCCTTCCTCTCCCCATTCCACCCTCCTCTATCCGCCTTCCCACACTCCCCTCCTACCCTCTTTGATCCACACACTACCGCCCCTTGATCTTCAGTATTTAAGCGGGATTAGTTCTTATGCTCTTGAAGAAAGTCACCTCACCACTCTTCCATTCACCGGATCTTCCGGATCCACCCACCTAATCTTCGAGTTTCCACTGCGCGCAAGCCGCTTCTCCCCGTATTTCAGCCAGCAGTACCCATCGTCCGGCAGGGCCCCCTGGGGAATGCGCCTCCGGAGCGCAGCCGCCGCCGCAGCGGCGGACAGAGGTGGGGCGGCGAGCCCCGGCACTCCCGGCGGCGCCCCCGGCGGCGCTCCTGGCGGCGTTGTGAATCCGTTCGCTGCGGCCGGCACGGGGACGCCGCTGGGACGTCCATCTGCGCCGGCGGCGCCGCAATTCGGTGGCAGTGGCGGCGGCGTCACTGACTGCCGCCGGTCAACGCCGAACGAGCCGCTGGCAGCTATCAGCTGGTTACCACTACTATTATTTGTGGTAAAAGGTACTAAAGGCGACACGGAGGTATCGTTAGTACTATTACTACTACAACTGGTGATGCTCCCAACGTTCCAATGTGGAATATTAGCCGCCTGGGGTGCTGTGAACAATGCAGGGCGACCCGTTGTGCTAGCTGGGGGAGATGCATTATCCGGTGAGGGATCTTTAGAAGGTACGCCGCAAAACCCACCGCTAAATGCGGCGTGCGCTGTAGCCGCGGCGGCGGCGGCACCTGGCGTCACATGAGTGTCCTGATCTGGCACGCGTGGCATCATGTTAACCGCATCATCTGTCATTACAAGCCGTTCCACTAGCGCGCATGCGGCGACACTGAAACTAGTAATACCATAACTATTACTATTACTAGGGATCTCAATATTGTTTAGGAATTTAGTTTCTGCACAAGAATATCCAACGAGGGTTCGCTGTGCTCGCATCCCTAGAACCTGGAAACTGCTGATACGCGCATTGTTACCGCGTGAATCCCCGGGCGGCATTCGCTTGTCGCCACACTGCTTGTTTCGGGGGAGTCCCCCCCGCTATCCAACAGCTTGCCACATGAAATGCTCAAACATCAACTCAGGGATGCCGCGCATTGCGATTTGAAAACCCGACAGAACTCAAGACTTCGCGTCAAATGCTCTTACTAGGCCTAGTAGCTCATACATCATATTGTGGAAGCTATTTCGAGGGACAACTTGACATGGAGAGGGTGCTACTACAACAAGGGCCGCGGGGACCTGTGTACACCCTCTTTCTCGATAGACTGGCATATGTTAGACTGACCGGGACGCCTAGTGTAGCCGCAACGGACCAAAGGCGTTATAGTGACAATTTGACCCAAGGCGGTCAGTCAGGGTTTCAAACTTTACAAAATGGTACTGTCATTTTCAAAACGGTTGGGACGGCTATTCAACGTTAACGGTTTTTTTCCTCCCAAGGCTTTGTTTCGTCACCTCGTGCGACTTCGCCCGCAACCGAGTTATCGCACCAGCCTGCTACGTCCAAACACTGTAGCCAGTGTGCGCGATGGTGAGAAGGGTGAGAACAAGGGTGTAAACGAACAGCAGAGGGCCTACAGTAGGTCGTAGTTTATCGTGAAGCACCAATGTTTGCGCTGCGTTACAACCATGCCCTTCATGAAAGTGCCATTCTTTGAGAAGAGGGTCACGCAGGGTCGAACGAGCATAAAATCAATGGCGTAAACTTTGACTTTCAGCTCCTAGTGAATGGAGGAATCAAAGCGGGAAGATCGGGGCCACGAGTGCCTGAGGCTCGTCCAGTCCACCACCATGAAGGGCAGGATTTTAGTTAATGCTCGTCATGCCTACCAATATGCTCATGCTTTTGGAGGGGCTTACGAACGAAATAGGGATTCGACAAAAGCTTCCTCCCCATCCTGTCTCACTCATCTCCGCAACACTCCATCCTCTACAGTACATTCTCTCCACCCATCCTCTCCATCCACTCATCTCACTCCATTCTGTATTGCTTGCCAGTCCTACTGAGAATTCTGTTAAAGTCAATCTGCGTTGTTGCCATCCGTACAGCTGTCCTGGCCCGCGTTTTTTTCTTCCTCTTCTGCGTTTTCTGTTTGCGTGTCGAGAATTTCGACCAGACCCAGTAACAACAAATCTCGACAGAGCCGAATCACGACAGCTCCTAATTGGCCATATGAATAGCGAAAATTCGAGACAGATCCCTTAGTCACTCCTGGTTAATGCTGCCACTGTAGTTGTTACAGCCGTCGTCTTTCAGTCCAAAATCAATCCTCTCGAGAAGACGCTACCGAAACGATGTTTGGAGGAGTTCTGCCCGAGGTGCTCCTCAGTGAAGGGAACGGGCAGGACTAATGGAATCATTTTAGCTCGGACGATCAGGGCTTTTCTACTCGTTCCTTACCCGTAACTTTCATTGAAGATAGGGAGTTTGGCTATTATGGTGCCTCCGTGGTGTTTGTTTGACTAAGAATATATACTGAGATAATTGCGCTACTTGACGTTTTTGTAACGTTTCTCAATCCCGTCGACTGCCCTCGCACCGTATTTCACGTATTTCGATATTTCTCCATCCTTTGGACTGCCACTTGTTCTACACCCGCGATCACGGTCTGGTAAATCTGCGTTAGCAGGTTGTACGGTTTCTGATCCCTTTGATTCCAAGTTTTAAAGTGAGAACGACTCTGAAACGATCCAATTGCAAAAACAATTTCTCTATGGATATATCAACAGAAAAAATGAATGCACCCAGGGAGCTCCCAGCCTGGGACAAACAAAAATAAACCCTTTATGAATGACATGCCACCCAAGGGAGGCATCAACCCTGAACACATTGTCGCATGGTCTTTAGGGTTGATGCCTTTCTAGGATGGCATGTCATTCAATACAGTTTTGGTTTTTTTGCCCGCCGGTCAGGTCAACGGTGGTCGACGCTCCGTCGACCGACCGTCGACCTCATTTCATTCGGACATTACACTCGGTAGTGCTTGGTAGCGCTACAAAGCGTTAGGCGATGTAAGTGAAAATTGTTAAGGCAACGCATAAAGAACTAAACCCCTTAGGAAACTTGGACGCCAATTTGGGAGGGATCAACCCTAAATACGAGAAATTACATTGTCTTTAGGTTGATTCATTTTAAAGTAACATCCATTTCGGACTGAATTTACTTTTGTTTTGAGTCAGGTGGGGTGCAACTTATTTTTCCAACTCAACGTAAACCATCCCTGATCAGATAATGAAACTGTCAGAGGTCCACTGGTGATCCCCGATTGATCCTAGGGAAGGGTTACAGGCATGTTGGCCTGGGGGGTTATGGGCGCACTAACCCGCTACTTAAACAAGCCCTTTTATCCCAATGGTCTAGTGGTTGGGATTCTGACATGGTATCAGAGCGGTCTTGGGTTCGAATCCCAGTGTGTGCACTTCGGGCATCCCAGTGCGGGGGGGTGTCAGAGGTCCACTGGTGATCCCCGATTGATCCTAGGGAAGGGTTACAGGCATGTTGGCCTGGGGGGTTATGGGCGCACTAACCCGCTACTTAAACAAGCCCTTTTATCCCAATGGTCTAGTGGTTGGGATTCTGACAGAAACGTCCAGCAAAAGCACATGTAGAGTCCAAGGGATAGAGAAATATTGAAAATCCCAGAACGCAGTGCGAGAATGGTCGACAGGATTGAGCAAAATACAAAATTTGTCAGATCGTGCAATTAACTCTGATAGGCTCTAAGGGAGGGTGTTCTTGGCGCTGTCTTATAGCGATTGGTCAGTTCTATTTACACATGTTTTTCACCATAGAAGATTATAGTATAGTGGAATCAAGATGGATAAAACACAGTTCATAGTCGTTAGATCACGTTTCGGTATGGTTAAATTAGACAAATCGAATCAAACAAGGTCTGCAAGCCAGTTTCAAACGATTCAGTATAGCGAGAAAGATGGTGTATGAGAAGGGTGAGTGTACTATTTGGAGACAACTTTCACACACAACCATTTTAGTCACGCCGTTGTTCTTAAGAAGTTACACTGCAACTTTTAAAACACCCTTAATCCATAGATCTCCAACCTTTATAGTGTTAATTGTATTCTTATGTTTGATTAGTTTCAAGTGCTTTCATGAACTGATCAGCTATTGTTACTCCATATGAGAAGATGAGAACGAGAATGAATGAACTATGAAACAGTTGGGTACAAGTACTAACCCTAATTGGGTTGTACCCCATATGGGCTACCCCACTACAGCCTACACAAAAGCATAAGCTATAATGTTCTGACACCATAATGTATGTACAATGTTTTCCGGTTACCATCGCGCCCCATCCTACTTCCCCCTTCCATCCCGCCCATGTCAAAAGTAAAACAAACAACATATATAGTGATATTCAAATAGACATTGCACATCTTCCCAAGTGAAATAGTCTCATGAATAAATCAAATGTGCATTCAGGAACGCATCAAAATTGAAGTGAAGCTCCCATAAGAAAGTATAAAAACTGGGTTATTGATTAGAAAAAAATTGACTGAAATTTATCCACATTAAGATTGATCTTCACATCTGATGTTATCCATTGGAAGTATTCATAGATAGGGGGAATTCAAGATAGTTCTATTTTTTGAAACTTGGCATATATTAAGATGAGATATATTATTTCATATATATTAATAAATTATATTGAAAGCTTTTTATGGAAAAGATAAATGAACAATATGTATTATAAATGTTTTTGACTATATATATAGATGATTCATTATATTTCAAAACTTAAAGTTATATATACTAATTTCCAAAAACATTTTCAAAAATTCAATTATATAATAAAGCGATTCAAACCTAGATATATGGAATTATATTATACCAGTTTTGGTAAAGCTAAATTTCTTATGTCATGACATTGTATAAATGAGTTACTTTACAAGAAGCTTGCATTTTGTTTCTTTGTATTAACATGTAGCTATACAATTGAAATTAATGTATTATCAAATTCCATGTTGCGAATCCATTTTGTGGATTGGTTAAACGTAGTTCATGGGGGAAAAAAGAGGCGTAAGAGGAAAAGTGGAACAATAGCACTCACGGTGAAATAATGCACATCTATTCTTTTCTACTAAAAAAAAATGACCTAAATTGTTACGCGTAGCACGTACCGCATCTTGGGGGAAGTCATTGGACCTTTTTGTTTAACCTTACATATATTAAAAATGTCAAGTTATTTTTCGTAATTTTTTTCTATCTTGGAAACCATATAACACAGCGTCTTTGTCGCACTGTTGTATGTGGTCATCAAATTCGAACGTGATTCAAGGCCTGATTGCGGGTGAGAGGACTAAAACATATATGGTTCGCATACCTTTCCAGATTTATTAACCATAAACACCTTGTTTGGTGGTAGATACATTTGTGACAATATAATGTCTTGTAATGATATGTTGTATCAACCAGTGTAATGCATGGGTGTGGGACGCATCAGAGCATGCCATGTTGTGGCAGGCTCGGGACTCATCAAGCACAAAAATATTCCAAATTTTTCACTCCAAAAATACTCCAAAGTTTTAAGAAGGTTCCGACTAAAGAAGACAGCGAGAAAATTGAGAAATTTTGCAACAGCTTATTATCAAGGGGTAATCGGCTCAATTTTTTGTTGCGTAATACGCATGGTGTGCTGTGGCGAGTTGACAAACGAGGAGGCATGGGGAAGAGCATTGGAGAATGTTTTAATAAAGAAATATAGAACAAACTTAATTGAGATGGATACTAATTGTAGTGTTACGATCGGTGATTCCCATATGACCAAAGGGGGTTAAATGCGACAGGTCATATTATTTCCCTTTACAGAACGGCAGACTTTGATTTTTGTCGCTGACATGTGTAGGTGAGTGGCATGGCACAGCTCCCCAGTGTAGGTGAGTGGCACAGCTCCCCAGTGTAGGTGAGTGCAGCTCGTGGAGTGGCAGGCTGGGAAGGGAGGTTTCGTCCTCATTACGAGCCAACCAGTTGCGAACGGAAGATGCCACTTTACGTCAGTGGTCAGTCCACGCTCGTGTCGGCTGCCAGTGTGTGCGAAAGCAGCGACAAGTCTGCTAGCAGGCGTGTTCAGCTGAAAAATTAGTTAACAGTTGCAACATTCGCTTCGATGATGGGTACTGTACAGAACGCAGCTCCGCACGCTTCATTCGTTAGTCAGGATCTGCCCACCGCACTGTTTAGGTTGCGGTCAAAGTTTCACGATGTTTGCCCCATCAAAGCCTGAAAGCTGGCCGAATTCAAATAAACCATCGTCCAATCGAATGGCCCAGCAAGTTGCAATATGACGGGTGACAGCTGTGCATCTCGACAAGCGAACAATTTCCCCAAGAAAGCCGACAAACGCCGCAACACCGCAGAGAGCTGAGCCCGTTCCAGAGCTGTCTTCCGTAACCGCTTTTGACAGCCTCAAACCCAGAAAACCCAGATTTCGTTTTCAAGCCCCAAGTGTCAGAGGAATTCACGTGGCTTTGTCGCGGATATTTGTTTTAATACACCAGGGGAGTGTGATACATAAAGCGGAGTGTGTAATAAGGTGAACTAGCGGAGTGCCTACAGATTTCTACCGAGGCCAGATGAAAAAGAATCCAGATGTTCCACACCCTAACCCATTATAACATAGAACACATACGTTGGTGGACACGCTTATGCTCGTTCTTTGGGGCCAATTCGTTTCGTTGTGGGCTCAATTGTCTCGTTTCGGCTCCAGCAACAAACAGCCAGACTAGTGTAACGTACGGTAAACGTTGAATTGCCAGACAACGCATAAACACAACATATGAATCTTGCAAGATCACTATGTAGGCGGCGGCTGCTGCTGCTGCTGCGGCACAACATTTAATCCCCCAACTAGATTCTGAATTGCACCCAACACACCCGAGATGTTGCTTGGATCAAGCGGGATATTGTCAAGCGAGATATTGTACGCTGCTTGGCCGGACGCTTGATCTGGGGAGAAAGAATGGGAGCCTGGCGCACCACCCCAACCAGCCCCGGCAGGCATACCCGGACCAGGCATACCCGGACCAGGCATACCCGAACCAGGCATACCCGAACCAGGCATACCCATTCCAGGTATACCCATACCAGGCACTCCCATCCCAGGCATTCCCATTCCATGCATGGGGAAACCCGCAAATTGCATCCCACCGGGGAAGGCAAAGGGAGGAGGGGGTGCGTGGTGGTGGTGTGGTGGGTGGGGGCGGTGTTGATGCTGGTGCTGCTCGTGTTGGTGATGATGGTGGAGATCCTGTGGGGTGAGGGGTGGGGTGGCCGGGGAAGAGAGGGGGAAGGGGAGGGAATGGGAGCGGATTGGATAAACAGGGAAATTGCGGTGCGCTGCTCGTGCTGGTGATGGTGGTGCAGATCCTGTGGGGTGAGGGGGGAATGCAAAGAGGAGGGGGGGAAGTGGGGAGGCGAATTGCAGAGGAAGGGAAGTGGGGATTTTGAGTGAAGAAAACTTTACACGGTGGTAGAGAGCAATGGGTTGATGAATGAGAGCAATGGGTTGATGAATGAGAGCGTAAACTGCAAGGGGCGAATCTTGGCCTGGATTGTTCAACACATTGAAATCATGGATAGATTGGAAATTGGAGGGATTTGATTGCTTCAATGAAAAGAATCATCAACGAAAAGAATCAGAAAGATTCCACTCTGGTTGTGGAATAGAACACCAACAAGAAAGTGATCACACAAAAGGGACGCAAAGAAAAGGAAGTTGGAGGGAAGAAAATCGTCAAGCATCAAGATTGGGTTGAGCAAACAGAGGGAAGCAAAGTTGATCAATCTTGTCCTGCCCAGGCATACATGATCCAGGATGATCAAGATTGGGGTGAGCAGACATACATGATGGGAGCAGCACGCGCCACACCTCTGCTCGTCAAGCTTCCTCTTGGCTGCCTGCAGTGGCAGCGAGATTATGGAAAGGGCAGTGGCAGCAAGAACCATGAAGGTGGGGGGAAGGAGGTGGCGAATCATAAGGGAGCAAGAGAGTGATTCAGAAAGTCGGGGGAGGCAAGATAGCGACTCCAACGGTTGACAATCGCAGGCAGGCAGTTTGTTCTGTAAGTGGCCTTTGAGTCGACTCAAAACACAATCGCAGGCAGGCTGTTTGTTCTGTAAGCGGCTTAATTGTGCAATGCAGTTGAGAATTGAAGGTTAACCCGGACGGCTCACTTCGGGGTTCTCCTCGTGCGCTGCATTGGAGGGATCGCGGTACAGAGTTCTGAGGAGCCTAAAAAATTGTCAGCACAAGGAAAATTCCTAGAGAATAAACTCCAAAACTGGATTGGTGAGCTCACTCTGCGGTTCTCCTTGTGCGCTGAATTGGAGGAGTCGCACTGCAGAGTTCTGAGGGGCCTCACAAATTGTCGGCACAAGAAGAATCTCAGAAGCTAGATTTCTCGCCGTTAAGTTCTCCCTGGGCTTTGCATTGCAGGAATCGTGCTGAAGATTTATCTGAGGAGCCTTGCAATATGTCAGCACAAGGAGAATGTTAAAAGTGGAATTTCTGAGCTCACCTTGAGGTTCTCCTTGTGAGCTGCATTGGAAGGATCTAGCTCCAGTGCTGCAATGTGGACAGGGGGGGGGGAGAGGAGAAGTAGAATGTGGGTGCACAAGCAAATCTGGATACCTGAATCACAGAGGAGCAGAAATAAATAACTAAATGGAACAAAATGGTCTCCAGCGCATACACCTTTCCTGAAGCCCCACTCCTGCAATCTCCCACTCCCACAAGCACTCGCACCTTTCTTAAAGCCCTCTTCAATCGCCTCGTGGTGCCGACCCAGCGCCATGCACGCATGCCCCAGCCGGCTGTACGCCTTGCTGTACCTCGGGTCTACTGCTACCGCCCTCCTGCTGTCCGCCGCAGCTTCCATGTAGTTTCCCAGCTGGTGCTGCGCTGCTGCCCTGCAATCAGCAAACAGCAAAACAGCGAACGAGAAATCTTTGAAACATCCTCTGAACTTTTCATTTCAAGCTAACTCGAAAGAGATAAGAGAGAAGGGAGGGCACATGCTGGCGTTGTAAATGGCATTCATACAACTATGGAAAGCAATTTCGTTGGAGTGGCATGAGAGTGCCTTTTGGGTCCAATCAAACGCGAGAGGAAAGGAAGGGAGAGTACCTGTTGGCATAGTAAATGGCGTTGGTGGTGCCTACACAGAGGGGGATTGCTTTGGAGTAGAGAGATAAGACTTATTGATTTGATTTACAAGACAAGGGAAGGGAACGGAAGGAAAGGGAAGGGAAGGGAAGGGAAGGGAAGGGAAGGGAAGGGAAGGGAGAGTACCTGTTGGCATAGTAAATGGCGTTGGTGCCACCACAGAGGGCGATTGCTTTGGAGTAGAGAGACAATGCCTCTTCGTAGTTATGGGCTGCCATGGCCGCATTGCCTGCAGGGAGGTGTGGTCACGAGGGGTGATATGAGGTGGGTGGGTGGGTGGGTGGGAGAAGGGAGAGCTACCACAGAGAGCGATTGCCTTGGAGTAGAGAGATAATGCCTCGTCATAGTTATGGGCTGCCATGGCCGCATTGCCTGCAGGGGGAATGAATGAGAATGGGCGTGGGCAAGATGGGGTGGGTGGGTGCGTGGTTGCGGGAAGGGGGAGAGCCTGACAAGAGATAACGCCTCCTCAGTTGAATTCACTTTTGAGAATTCTCAAAAGGGGGAGAGCTTGACAAGAGATAACGCCTCCTCATTGAATTCACTTTTGAGAATTCTCAAAAGGGGGAGAGCTTGACAAGAGATAACGCCTCCTCATACTGATGAGCTGCCATGGCTGCATGCATTGACTGGAAGGAGAAGGGCCATGGGGCGATATGGGGTGGTTGGGTGGGTGAGAGAAGGGGAGGGTGGGTGAAATTTACTGATGAGCTTGACTTGACAACCACTTGGCCATAAACACCTACCCCAGCCACCCACTCCCAGCCACATTAGACATACACACACACCACCCACCCATGCACTGCAGGGTGTTTTTGGAAATTCTCGAAAACACCCTGCACAAACACCAACCCCAGCCACCCACCCCCAGCCACACTACTAGACATGCACACACACCACCCACCCATGCACTCCAACCCACTCACCCATCCATCTACATCACCCACTCACCCACCCACACCACACCACCACACCTGACATCACACCGCCCCACACCACACCACACACCACCCCACACCACACCACCACACCACACACCCTGCGCCTTCAGTTCCTCTGCTTTCTTCTTGTCCTCTTCTGTGACCACTGCTGCCGCCGCACCCCCACCCCCAACAGTCTCAGCAGAAGCACTGGCAGTAACACCACTAGCAGCACCACCACCAGCACCACTAGCAGCAGCACCACCAGCACCACTAGCAGCACCACCAGCAGCACCACTTGCAGTTGCAGCTGAAGCATCTCCCATTTCCGTCTCCTTCTCCTTCCCCTTGTCGCCCCTTTGCTCCTTCCTGCCCTCGCTGCTCTTGCTGCCGCCCTCCTCCTCCTTCTCGTTCCCCTCCTTCTCCCCTCCCTCCTTCTCCCCTCCCTCCTTCTCCCCTCCCTCCTTCTCCCCTCCCTCCTTCCCTTGTTCACTGCCCCCGTCCCCTTGCTCCTTGTCCCCCCCCTCTCTCCCCCCTCCCTGCTGAGCCACGCACTGGTGGAAGATACCTCGTGCCTGCTGCTGCCTCGTCACATACTCCTCACTCCCCACCACCGTCCCTGCATAGTACCCCGCACTCTCCAGCCCCTGCAGAAACTCCTGAAGCTTCTTCTCCAGATCCAGAGCACCCTGGGCCTCCACCTGACCCTCCTCCCCTTGCCGGTTCGGCCCACTCCCACCTGCCCCAGCTTCCCCACGAGCCGTTTCCCATGCTCTTTCTTTCGCTTGTTCCCCCGTTTGCTCAGTAGCCCCCTCAACTGCGTCTTTCATCTCTACTTCCTTCCCCCCCTCTCTGCCTCCGCTGTCTCCGTTGCCTATCCTAGCGATTTTCTGTTCCTGCAGCAACCGAACCTCCCCCAACCCTGTCTCCCAAGTCTGCCTCTCGAGGCTCGGCGTCACGCTTGTTTTCTTCATCCATAGGTTCGGGCAGCGAGGCAGCAGCCTGAGAGTTTTCCACTAGCTGCCCGCCTGGCCGGGCAGCACCGGCAGAAGAACCATGACCAGTAGCGGAACCCGGCGTGCTGTCCTGAATGAGCTGCAACAGTGTTCCGGGCAGAACTGAATATTTTTCCAGGTCGTCAGGGTTTTGCGGGCTGACCCCAAAAGCTTCGGAAAGGCAGTCTGCGGCAACCTCTAGGGCGTCCGAGTCAACTGAGGGAGGGAGTGGGGCTGATGGGGCAAGTTGGGAGAGAAAAAACGGGAGGAAACGGAAAGAGGGGACATCAGATGAGTGGTGGAACGATTGTGGGACATCTATCGTCACAATTGTTAGTCTGTGGTAACCGCTAGGGCGTCCGAGTCAACTGAGGAGGGGAGTGGGGCTGATGGGGGAAGTCAGGAGAGAAAAAACGGGAGGAAACGGAAAAAGGGGAGATGAGATGAGTGGTGGGATTTTTATGGAACATCTATGATCACAATTGTCAGTCCGCGGCAACCTCTAGGGCATCCGAGCCGACTGAGGAAGGGAGAGGGGCTGATGGGGCAAGGTGGGGGAGAAAATAAAAGGAAGAAACGGAAAGAGAAAACGGAGAAGAATCAGAGAGACGGGAGATTATTTGGTGGTGGCAGTGGAAAGGCAAAATGAAAAAAAGCAGTCTGGGACAACCTCTAGGGTGTCTGAGTGAAGTGAGGAATAGAGCGGGGCTGATGGGGCAAAGGGTGAAGCGAGGAAACGGGAAGAGGAAACGGAGGGAATAATCCGAGAGAAGCCTGAGCGCTTCAAGCTGTTACTACGAGTACCCGTGCGGAGGAACTGACCGTTGAGCCGCTTTACGCAGTCTCTAGTAATCACCTGTGCGGAGGAAATCGAGGAATGCGAGCACGGTTCGCCTTTGAGTTGACTTTTGAGTCGAGTTGACTTTTGAGTCGACTCAAAAGTCAACTCACTTGTAGTACCTGTGCGGAGGAAATCGAGGAATGCGAGCACGGTTCGCCTTTGAGCGAAGAATTCATCCTCCTTAGAAGCCGCATCGCTCGGAGACGCCATACCCAGCTGCTGCGGTCACGAAACGCTCACGTTTTCTAAGATGCCGCTCAGCTAAATCCTACTGTTCACAATTTTTCCTCGGAGTGTCCGACTAGGAGTAATCTCACGACGCCATTCGCGACAATGGGATCGAATTCGGGCACTTCGGCAAGAGGAAGGACGGGATGGAAAGACGGGAGGTATGGCGAGAGTGATCAAGCACTCGCTGACTCGAATAAGGTAGCCTGCTGCTGCTGGCGGGACGTTGATCGTTGCTCGGGTAGTCCCAAATACTGCTACTCGTCGCGCGCTTGGACTCCTCAGAATGAATCACTAGTGCTAACGCCGCGCACTCGTGTCAGTCTGAATCTGAACTAAAAGCGACGAAGTGAAGTGGCTTGCTCGGTTCTGAAAGAAAGGCGTTGTGGAAAAATCAGGAGATGAGGCGAGTGAGTAAGAGCGGATTTTTGGATGGTTCTGGAATCTGAGGTGTTAGCACCACACAGCGCATCACGGAAAAGCTGCGAAATCTTGCTACACCGTACCTTTACCATCAATCGGCAAAAAGACACACCCCCTCAATTAGCAATAAAGAGACTTGGACTTATGTTTTGTAGAAAGTACTTTTCAGCTTCTTAGCCAGACGCGCCAGAGTACGCTTATCGCGGATGCAATATTGTCACCACCAACCAATTTTCAGAGGCAATCCCGACGTAGTCACCAGCAGTCCCAAGGCCGGTTTCACCTCTGATCACAGCGGTTTGGTACCATGGCTTGCAGTTTGATCATGCAACTATGTCGGTAGCCGTCCCAGAACCAGCTAGACCTAATTCGTTATGCGATATCGTGTCGTGAAGTAGGTTAGCTGTCTGACGCTGATTATTTTAAGAAGATTTTTTCCTCACTCGTTGAACCGGTATCAATGCGTCGGGATCGTCGTCTGCTTCGTCATCATTGAATGCGCGTCGCGGGTTTAGAATGACAGGAGCTGTACTGCAGCAAAAAATTACGCTAGCATTTTCTTAGGCATTCGTTGCGATGAGATTAACTGGAAGACTCTCACATTTAGCTAGAACCTGGAGCGATAGGACCAATAGATTCGGAATGGGAAGTCACGGAAGCCGTCACGATGCTTCGAGTTGCGCTGCGAAACGTAGTTTTGCAGAAAAAAAAATATCCAGCGTTGTTTCCCGGAGCTCAAATCCTTGGGAAAATACTTCTTTCCTCACATCGCCTTTGGTGACTGCTGTCCTTCTCGCTCTGCTCGTTTCCAGCGCCGTCGCTGGCTCGTCCAGACCATCCGCGTTAGAAGCGGACTCTTTAGAAGCATATCTCACAGAAACGAGCGACCATTTTCCGATGACGTCACACGTTCTCTCGCTGGCGGATTACCCTTCTTGGGAGGGTTCCGTGCGGCGGAGATTGGTGGATGACGTGGCATCAACGGCCAACGGCATGTTAAGGTACACTGCTTTGAACAACACCTACCTCTATTCGAGGCGCCTAAGAACACGTTACACAAATAAGGCTCTTTAGAAAAGGCGCCCTTAAACCTCGGTTACGGGGTTGCGAAGATTGCTCTCCCACGTCTCCTTCTCTCTTCCCCTTCATTCCCGCCTTCCTCCCTCACTCCCATCTCTCCACCGTTCTCTTCACCACCCCCCCCGCTCGCCTCCCCCTTTTTCTCCGCTCTTCCCCCACCCTACCCTCCTCCCACCACCACTCCTCCTTCCCTGCAGTTCCGAAGCGGTGAGTCAGCTTGTGGGGCGGCTGAGGGCGCTGCGGGTGCGACTGGGGGAGGTGGTAACGCGGGCGAACACGACCATGCAGCTGCTGCCGGGGATGGAGGAGGAGAACGGCGCGGAGGGCAGCGGGGAGGGGCTTGAGAGCGTGAAAGTAGTTGATGTCGTGGATGATGATCAGACGCCGCTGAAGCTGGATTGGTGAGTGAAACGAGACGCACTGTAACGCGGACAGACAGGCATGGCTGTGAGGAGGGCAGCGGGGAGGGGCTTGAGAGCGTGAATGTGGTTGACGTGGTGGATGATGATCAAACGCCGCTGAAGCTGGACTGGTGAGTGAATGTGACCCATTATGGCTTGAAACGAATCAGCATGCAGTGGGGACAGGCAAGGTTGGGAGTAATCGAGGGGTGGGCTTGAGAGCGTGAAGGTGGTTGATGTGGTGGATGACGATCAGACGTCAAGCTGGATTGGTGAGACGTGTGGCCCAACGCATTGGCGTGAGTATGTGTGTGTGAGGAGGGCAACGGGGAGGGGCTGGAGAGCGTGAAGGTGGTTGACGTGGTGGATGACGATCAAACGTCAAGCTGGATTGGTGAGACGTGTGGCCCAATGCATTGGCGTGAGTGTGTGTGTGTGAGGAGGGCAGCGGGGAGGGGCTGGAGAGCGTGAAGGTGGTTGACGTGGTGGATGATGATCAAACGCCGCTGAAGCTCGACTGGTGAGTGAATGCGGAGCGAGAAGTCATGCATTTTATATTGCTTGAAACGAATCAGCCCTGCCTCGGAGGATCCCACTCCTTCGTCCTTCCTCCACACTTCCCCTTCCACTCGCCCCAACCGCCAGGGGTCGCGCTGTGAGCAAGGAGCAGGGGGAAAAGGACGAGAAGGACAAGCAGACGCAGGGGCGATGCCCTTCAAAATATGAAATGGTCCCAGAATCTTGATTCACTTTCGCTTCAACCCTCTCCCTTCCTCCGCCCTCTCTCCCTTGTCCTCCCTCCACGGTCCACGATTCCCCTTTCCTTCACTTCACCCCACCCGTCCCGTCAGGGGTCGCGCTGTGAGCAAGGAGCAGAAGGAGAAGGAGGAGAAGGACAAGCAGACGCAGGGGCGATGCCCCTCAGACGCTCAGGCGGCAGGTGGTGCAGGCGGTGCTGCTGACGTGGCAGCGGCTCATAGGCTGGCGGCACATGCGGACTGGAGGGGCGGATTCGCGAATGGGAGTGTGGTGTGGGCACCGGAGAAGGATAGATACATTCTCATGGATTGCCATAGGGGGAAGGTACTTGTGTGGGGAATGGGCAGGGCGGGGCGAGGAGTGTGGGTGGGCAGGTAGGGTGAGAGGGGAGACTTTTGAGGCGCCTCAAAAGGCAGGTAGGGTGAGAGGGGAGACTTTTGAGGCGCCTCAAAAGGCATGTAGAGTGAGAGGGGAGGCTTTTGAGGCGCCTCAAAAGGCAGGTAGGGTGAGAGGTGAGAAAAGAGAGAAGTGCTGAGAGGGGAACTAACCTCTCAGCACCTCTCAAGGTTAGTTCGCGAATGGGAGTGTGGAATGGGGGCTGGGGAAGGGTAAAGACGTTCTCATGGTGGCACAGGGGAAAGGACGGTATGTGGGTGGGTGCTATCCCCCCTTCCTCCTCTCCTCCCCCCTTTTTCCACCTTCCATTTCTTCCGCCGCTTCCCCCCTTCCCCACCTTCCATTTCCTCCCCTCTCTCCCTTTCAGTCCAGCATTCCAGCTTCCTCTGCTCCCATCCCATTTCCCCCCCTGCCGCGACTGACTCCCGCTTCCCCCCTCTCGCACATCAGTCCAGCAAGCGCATCCAAATGTTGCTGATGCTCCCTTTCCCCCCCTCCCTCACTTCCCCCCTCCCCCCCCCTCCCTCACTTACCCCCTCCCCAACTCCCCTCTTCCCCCACTAAACCCCCCACCAACCACCCACTCCTCTCCCCCTGCAGTCCAGCACGCGCATCCGCTGCTTCCGCAACCACATGCTGCTGGCAGGGCGCTCTAATCGCACACTGCTGGTGCCGATGAAGGCAGTCTCCCATTCCCCCCTTACCCTCTCCCTCCCTCTCCCCCTACCCCCCATACCATATGCAGTCCAGCACACGCATCCGCTGCTTCCGCAACTACATGCTGCTGGCAGGGCTGTCTAACCGCACGCTGCTGATGCTCCCTTCACCCCCTTCTCCCGCTCCCCCCCACA